TCTCTAAGCAAGTTAATTAGTTAAACTGTAAAATACCAAAATTAAATTAACTGAAAATAAAATTTGAATAGACTTCCTTGATTATATATCATTCGTGAATAATGTTGAGTATCAACCATAAAAATTAATTGGCAGTATAGAGAGTAACACAACTACTTATAAGATCATGTAAGGTTCATTCTCTAATCAATGTGAGACTCATTTTAAACACGACCCCTCATATGTGATGAATTTTTAAGCTTAACATATGAACAACACAATTCAGGTGGCGTGGAGCATGTGTGGTGGCCGTTCGACTTCACTATGAAGAAGGTTGAGGTTCCACCATAAAACCAATTGGTAATATGAGGAATATCTCATCTACTTATAATCATATGCAAGACTCATCTTCTCATCAACGTGAGATTCATTCTTAACAATTCGTAGATACCATTCACAAAAACATGGGACGCTATATACTTGAGCTCTATTGTCTAACTCAATTTACTCTATATCTGAAGGAAATTAAAATGCATGCATAGACATGTAGACAAACACTTCATACCTCTATAAACAAGTATCTTCTGTGAACCATGGTCCAAGAATTAAATATTGAAAGTTGAAATTGCCAACCGCAAAATTAATACAGGAAGCATGTGATGGACCTCCACAACAAACACCTTTGGTTGTAGTTAATGGTCGAAGGTTGAGTTGTCGAATGCAAGTCTTTTGATTTTCAGTCTAAAAGAGGCCGACATAGATGTATGAAGAATGAAACTGTAGCAGGAGGAGTGTTTCAAAAACACATATTATTGAATATGGATGTGATATCCACACACCTCTTTTTAATTCTCCCACATATTTTTAGTTTTCAGCTGTCGGATCGGATGAATTGAAAAAGATGAACATACATAAATTAACAAAGAATATGTGAGAAGTAACGAATGGTGTGTAGATAGCACACTCCTAATGAATATCTTCGTCATGAGACATATAATTGAATATCTTCCTCATGAGACATATGTATCTAATGAGTGGAAGGTTTGATGATTAAAATAACAACGGCTGAAGGTCGGTAAGCCGATGATAAAATGATTTCTTTTATCAACATTGTTGGATATTTCGATGTCATCTTTTGCGATCTCTTTTATTTTTTTAATGCTCATGTTTAAAGAAATTTATAAATCTGATTCAACCCATATCTACAAAATCTAGATCGCCAAAACAAAATCCAATTCTTGAGTTCGGTTTAGCGAGTAATATGAAGCACAAAAACTCAACCCCGAATATAAACTCAAAATAAATTCGAATAATTTTGAGTTACATTCTAGAGCTGAGGGCAATGTTTGTCTCAATCAACTCTGCTTACAGAAGGTCCTAAATTTAAAAATTTCAATTTAACTATTGAATTGTGCAAATTTACGAGTGAAAATTGAGAACAACGCAGGAGATTTTCTTGCAAAACAGCTTGTACCAATTCACATGCCCAATTCAAGTTCATCTTGGACATCTCGAGTTCATAAAATACTTGATGGCCTAGGGTTGGATTGAGTTATGCTTGAATAAATAAAACAAAATTTTGAGGTGCGACTAGGGTTGGTTGGCATTGCAACCTGCCCAACGTACCTAATTCCCACCTTGGATGCACTTCTACTTCTATGAGCACGTAACTTGTTGAGAATGAATCTCGCTTTAATAAGATAAGAAACTTTAAATGAGCTTATAAATAAATTGAATTACTATTCATATTATTAATTTGTTTTATAGTGAAACCCAACTTTAAACTTTCTTCATAAATAAAATATTATTACCTAACAAGTTTTAATGCATAAAATAAATAAACACATTTATTTTCTTGGTGTTTATTTGGTAAAATTTATTAATTTTTATTCTTAAAGTAGATATAAATTTACTTTGACATCATTTACTTCTTGTGTGTGAAGTATATTTTCTCAAATCCAAAATCAATAGTCTAACATAGGACTTCGGATCCCTTCCTCCTAATCTATCAAATTAGGAAACTCATGTCATTGAAATTTGATCTAATAGCTACAAACAGGAGTCCACTTTAAAAATTATAATAACTTCAGCCATTGGATCAAATTTCAACTACACAGATTCCCTAATTTGGTCGATTAAGAGGAAAAGATCAGAGAGTATCTCTTTTCTCTAACATATATCAATGATTGCTTGGTAGACTTACAAAAAGTCATACGAAGTAATCATTTATGGGCAAGAGAAATGCTAAGGAAACTTTCTCAAAAGTAAGATTCTCCATCATCTCATTTTTTTGACATAATTTTTATACCAACATTATAAAAAAAAAAATGTCTAAAATATAAAATGGCAAGAATCCATAAAAAATCTCACTTTATCAAAGCGTCCTTATCATTTCTTTTAGAGCACTTCCACCGGAACTCCATTAGGCCGGCACCCAGTCAAAAAAATGGGCCGGGACTCAGACAATCCACTCCAGTCCGTTCAATTGCCTGGCACCCAACCCAAGCTGGTCTCTAGGCCAGCCCAGAATTGACAGAGCCAGGGACTGGCCTATTAGCATGCGTTTTGTGGGAATGGCGCCGAGGAAACGCAAGGCAACTGAGCAAGAAGAAAAACAGCTGGTGGCGTTAGTGAAATCAAGCTGGTGACCCGTGGCGCCGGCGAGGAAGAAGGTCAAGGGAGCTCAGAAGAAGAAAGAGCAGGCGAAGAAGGAAGAGGTGGAGGCGGAAGAAGAGGAAGGGGAAGCTGTGAAGGAAGAGGAGGACAACTCCGGCAAGAGCAAGGCGGAGGCCGAGTTTCCCTTGTTTCAGAAGCACCCATTCGGATTCCAAGATTGCCTCACCACTGACGTTCGATACCAAAACCTCTCGACATGATGGTTGACGCCATCATCAGAGCCATGGTCGTTGCACGATACGAGAACACTCTCGTGGTCGTGATTGAGACTGGTTGGCCCAGCTTCAGTACTGACCCAAGCGGAGAGAACAAGAACAAGAAGAAGAAAGGGAAGGAGAAAGTGGAGGCCGAGGTGAAGAACAAGAAGGAGAAAGGGAAAGCAAAAGTGGAGGACAACGGAGAAGGTACGGAGGCTGACGATGACGAGTCGGACAAGAGGACCATTGTAATAAAAAATAATAATATTTTAATAAAATTGACTAGGCTATTTTTTGTTAGGGGTGGAGATACTTTGGCCTATTACTATTTATTAGGGTCTATTACTGTTCAGTTGAGTTGATAAATGAAATTGCTCTCAAGGAGGCAAATCCTTGTATATGATTAGATGACATGATTGATTGCATAGTTTCGTACTCTTAACCACCTAATGATATTTTCACTTATGATTCAATATAAAAATCAACAAACTGTACGACCATAAAAAAGAGAGGAAGAGATAAAATGGATTGTGCGTGTCATGTCATGTCATTTCAATTAGTGGAAGCTCTTTTATTAAGATTTGATACGTACAATCTTCATGTTTTTATTACGAGGCCCAATGTGCGCCGGTCTTTTCAATTTTACACTCGATGTTAACCTGTTGTCACGTCACACACAGTATTATAATATAATAATATTTTTTGAAAATTTTTATTGATACTTTCAAAATCTCATTTTACATTCTTAATTTTTTATATTTGGAAAGAAAAATACATTTGTGAGGAGTGTAGAATGAGATTTTTGAAGTATCAATAACACTTCCTTATTTTTTATGCATTTATAAATGTTTTAAGTTTAAATCTTGTTAGTTGCAAGTTTAATATTTAAATATTTCTTTATATATAAATAAGATATTAAGTTTGAATGTCGTTAGTTAATAACAAGTTTAATAACAATTTATTTCCTATAAAAATAAAATAACAATTTATTTCTCAATTCTCCTAATATAAATATATCGTGTAAAAAAGTATTGTCACGCGACCCCTTCGGTTCTATATGAGATCCTAGGGCCTTTATATCATGTGGCTACCCCCTACATTATTGGATTCTTGATACTCCCTTCTCTGCATATTGTGACTGGAGAGTGCTGAAACTTAACCGTCTTAGTTACCCCTTCGTTTCTCATCATCCCACTTCCCACTCTTTAAAAAGGCTTAAATTATTCGTGACATTCTGTTAAATTATCAGAGAGACGGATTGAATGTTTACTTTCAACAATATCGATATTATCCTCAATTTATTAATTATCACCTGCACAATTCGTCAGGTGTGGAGTTTTATCACAAAAGACTTCGGTATTAGGTAGAGTAGAGTTATAATATTTAAACTTTTTTTTCTCTAAGATACGATTGATGTGAAATATTTCAACACATCATAGACAAACCGTAATTTCATACATTTTAACTTTTGTACATGCAATTGTGTTGTCCTCTCTCTGTCGGATTAATGTATCCACAAGAATACTTGAAGTTCTTAAGATAATAAAAGAAAAACAAAATAAAAAAAGATTCCAAATTTCTAATTAAGAAGTTAAGTTGAAAGTAAACAACTTGTTAGGATGTGATAATCCATCTTCTTTCTGGGTCCTCTTTTGTTTATATTTAACAACTACCAGGAGGTTCATTGAATGTGGGAGTTCTCGAATGCTATCCATGTTGACTAAATGCATTTTTGGTGTTATACGATAACTTTTTTATGTGCGAGTTACATTGTTACGTGGTATTAATCTTTATTTGTTATAAATCTAAGTATAATATTAACAAAGTTATACACACGGTTTGTAACAAAGTTATACGATAACACTATGTGACAATGTGACAGTCATATTAAAAAACAGGAGTGACACTTAGTTTCATTGTTGGTCACTCTCATTTTGTTTATTTTTTCCATCAATTTGGTCACTATGTTTGATTTTGTTAGCAATTTAAGGACAACTTTCAACTTGAGGGAAATATTCGACTGTTTAAACTTTAGAGGCATTTGACTCATACATGGGCATATTTGTGTTTGAAAAGAAGAGGCCTGCTTAATGGGCTGCTGAGGCCCACTAGGCCCAAACCCAAACCCGACAACAAGAAAAAATCTCAGGCAAAAATAAAGATCCAAAAAATGGAAAAAGAGAACTAAATAATAATAAAATAAAATAATGAATGCTTCTTCCACCTTCAACTTCCCGAACCTCGCTCCCGCGCGCAGAACCAGTCATGCAAATCCCCAGCCAATCCTCAAACCTCTGATCGCCGCCTCCTCCTCCGTACCCGAACCCGATTCCGACCCACATGCGCGGAAAATCAAGGGCAGCCCTCAGCTGACACGATGGTCCCGGGCACGGGCCATACGCTCGGGTCGGAAATTGGACCGCGCGGGACAGAGGACCCAATTTCTGGAGCCGAACCCTCCGCTGCATCCCAGCGACGGCGTATCGCTAGATCCTCATGATAGTACTTCATCGGGAAGTGACGGCAGTGACGATGACGCGGAGACTACGGCGGGGAAGTCGATATACATGGTTTCTGACGGAACTGGATGGACGGTGGAGCACTCTGTCAACGCCGCGTTGGGGCAGTTCGAGCATTGCTTGGTCGATCGGGGCTGCGCCGTCAATACCCATTTGTTTTCTGGGGTAAAGTTCGTTGCTTTATAATATTGGGAAATTGGCTAAAATGATCAAACATCAAAACCCAATTGCTGAATTGATCAAAATTAAATATCAATTGTGGAGTGATCAGATATGGACGGCATAGCGATTAGATAATCGATGACATTCTGAAACTGAATTGATCAAAATTAATATAATGTTTGTAGCTTAAATGAAAAAAAAAAACACCCACAAATTAATTAGTAAGGAGAAACTGAATAATAATGATTTTCTGCACAGTAGTATTTATATATTAGATCACCACTAATCAAGGTAAACAGTTTTGACTATGAAAACTGCTGACTAGGACTTGAGGTGGCAAGCTTTCAATTAGTACTTGATCCAAAATTTCTCACAAATTTATAATCTTTGTAGCTCAAGTGAAAAAATAGCTCAAATTAGTACTTAATCTAATTTTTCTATTAAGTTTATAATCTCTTCTATTATGATGTTTGTGGCTTAAGTGAAATCAAAGTAGACCAAATCAGTACTTATTATGAATTTTCTAATTTTGTAATCCTTGATACTGCCCTGTGTTGATTCTAATTTAGAATGCAAAATGGGGTATTGTGAAATCTTTCAGATTGATGATGTAGAGAGGTTGATGGAGATTGTAAAGCAAGCAGCAAAAGAAGGTGCTATGCTTGTGTACACTTTAGCTGACCCGTCAATGGCAGACGCTGCCCGGCAAGCATGCATGCACTGGGGCATACCAATGACAGATATGTTAGGTCCAATCACTGAGGCCATTGCTACCCATTTGGGCGTTTTGCCCTCCGGCCTCCCTCGTGGGGCACCAGGCCGGAGCTTTCCTCTCACCGATGAGTACTTTCGTAGGATTGAAGCCATTGAGTTTTCAATCAAACAAGATGATGGGGCATTCCCCAGAACTTGCACAAGGCTGACATTGTTCTTGCCGGGGTCTCACGAACTGGGAAGACCCCATTATCAATATATCTTGCGCAAAAAGGTTACAAGGTTGCAAATGTGCCTATTGTGATCGGGGTTCAGCTGCCAAAGAGCCTTTTTGAGGTTGACCCGGAAAAGGTTTTTGGTCTGACTATCAATCCTCTAGTGTTGCAAACAATTAGAACGGCAAGAGCTAAGACTCTGGGGTTCAGTGAAGGAATGAAGAGTAACTATTCCGAGATGGTTCATGTCAGACAGGAGCTGGAGTTTGCTCGAAGGATTCTTGCACAGAATCCTGTCTGGCCAGTAATTGGTGAGAATACTGCACTTTCACATCTTTACACATATCGGTTTTCTTTTAGTGTGTTCTTCTTCGGTTTTCCTCTTATGCATCAATTTGGTAATGTGAAGATTGGTATGGTAATCGTTGCCTAAGTTAATCGTGCTCGTATTTTGTTGATTGCAGAAGTAACAGGAAAAGCAATAGAAGAAACTGCAGCTGTTGTATTGAGACTTTATCACGACCGGAAGCACAAGTGCTCTATGCCAAGAATATCTAAACGCTACTAGAAACGGAAATTTTGAACCAAGGAAGTAACATCCAAGCTGTCTGCAATTTGTTGTGCCAAAATATGAGGTAAAATTATGTTGAATGGCATGCCTCTTTTATATTATATACCCGTGATACATACATAAACAAACATATATAGTGCTACCTATACGTGAATATATTTGTTGTACGAAAACATGAGGTAAGAATATGCTGAATGGCATGCCTCTTTTATATTATATACCAGTGGTACATCATAAACATATATATAGTGTTACCAATACATGAATGTCGAGTATAGCCATGCAGTTTCTCTGCTGAAAAGATTTCTTTGGTTTGAATCAAAGCTTGCACACGCGTATGATACAAAATTACAAATGCTAGTTGTCATTTCGAAATGTACAAGCCCATCACCATTTGCATTACATCCTGATGAAATAGCAGGAAATAGAGACAGAATTATCCTCATGGTTTTCATCACCTTTATAACTTTACATGTACATTTACCAATACATCGCAAGTAACTTCAGGAGGCTCAACCCAGATGCCACACTTTTTGTTTACTCTTGGCGGGGTTGGGTTTCGTGTTGGGTGTTTTGGACAACCCTGATTACATAGAACGCAATATTTTGAGCGATTTTGAGTGTGCCATTATTAGTATAGATATTTACTTCTTTCCAATGGAATGCCTTGTTGATTTGGTTTCTTCTTTATATTTCTTTGTAAATTGTCACCATATGTTAGGTTCTTCATCTTAAATTCTAAATTGACCTCTGTAATTTACGATTCACTGGAATTAGGGAGCACTAAAAGCTTTAACTGCTACCAATCGTAGATGACCTAGTGATACCTAAAACAACCAGACTCTTTAAAGAGAACTGTGAAAAATTTCCTTTCTGCATAAGGGTAGTATAGGGTCGGTGAAAGAATTAAGACTTTTTATGTGAGATTGTATTTTAGGTTCGTGTGTGATGTAGGAATTGATTGCCGACTTTGCAAGGGAAGATTTTGTGGATTGTACAAACTGACCTAACCTACATCTGCTTAAATATTCAATCTTTAGTCCCCGAAAGCAAAACATATCGCAAACTATTTTTAGAGTCCAATTGTGACTCTGCATTTGGGGGATATCCTTCTTATCATTCTCTTGGCATGACTTATATACATCTGAGAATGCATGGTGGCGGTATTCCCTACCCAAAATATTAGTGTGTGATTAGCTTGAGATACCGCCATAATTAGTGGTGGATGTACATTGGGACCAAGGTGGTCCCAAGACCACTCAAAGTCCTAGAAATATTCATGTGAAGGTCTTCCGAGAATCCTTCGAATGTTTGGTACGGATTCTTGTGTGCCCACAAGGGTTTGATTTAATGCAAGTTAGGCATATCTTGACAGCACTTGCGTCGAGCACTCGACAAATTCTCTTGATAGCACTCACGACTCATGAGGTTGCTTTGGCATATGTACACATATTTGTTGACGTGCGTGCAACATGGTTCGGTTGGCAACAAGAAGTCAACCAAGTGTTCGATAAAATGCCTCAGTGAATACACTAAAATTTTCTTACGCACTCTATTTCTATTAGAAGACTTAGACCTTTAATACTAAGACCCTCAATATTCGAATCTTAAATGCGTCACTAGCTACAATGGTACAATTATGACTACTTGGGAGATATTCTTTTCTAATCTTAAATGCGTCACTAGCCACAATGGTACAAATACGACTACTTGGGAGATATTCTTCCTTCCCATCGTCCTCATGACGTGACTTGTAAATGTTATAAAACCAACCACTCTCCTTTTGGAGTTTATCTTTGTTTTTTGCTTATGTTTGAACAGGGGATGTCATGTTGTGTGGTTTTGAATGTAATTCCACCATTGCACTCCTAGGACTCCAAAAATATATCTTCCTTAAAAGTAAAAGCTCCAACTGCGCATGCGTGAAGACCAAATTGCCATTATTAATATTATTGTTTGCTTTGCAATCTCGTCGTTGTTTCCGTCCATTTGTCCACTCACTTGGAAGCCACACACAACAAATATGGCCGGCCGAAGTTGGATTGCCGAAAGAGAAAAGCAAACAGGGACGTGTGGAAATTACTTTCCCGAGTAAAATACAAGGCAAAAGGATGAGAAGGCGAACCGAAAAAAGAAGTGACTTTCTGATCCTCCCATTAATCTGTGTAGAGAAAAGAAATACTTTACAAACAAAGAACACATCATGTGTTTTGATCTCACCCATCTACATAAAAAAATAAAAAAAAAAGTTAAGATTCCTTCTCCTTGTCACAATGCAGTATGTCTTTGTCTTCACTTCTAAGACTTTCTAAAGTGCCTCAAAAAGGAGTTTTGGATTTCTGTACCAAGACATGCTGATGGAATGTTGTTAGCATTTCTCGATCCAAAAAACCATATCTCTCGTCGAAAGAAGCCGCTTTTTTGGACTAGCTAGCTACCTTTCCGTCATGGATCGTTTCGTGTCTTAAATTCAACTAGAAAGTGTACAACTTGTATCATTGCTGCCAATCCAGACTGTTCTCGTCTGCATTGTACTTGGCAATTGAAAGCGTGAAGTATATGAGTAAGATTGTTCCAACGCTTGACCTGCCATCGAAAAAGAACACTTGTGATCACCGAGTCGAATTAATGGAGTTTAGGGTTTAGGGTTTAAAGATATCAGTAGACTTACATGGTGGCAAAGAAGAGGAGAACCCTCTTGGGATCAATGCCCCACGAGGAAGAGCGCCGGAAACTATTTCTCCGGACAACGCACCTCCCTTCGGTGGTGGTGCCAATGTTGGCCGCGGTGACGGTGATCTGATGATGAACGTGTGGGTTGCTCGACTGATCTATGGTCCCAACAGCTAGTGGGGACTTTTCAGGCGTGCTAGACCCTACAATAGTAGCTGCAACTCAATAATTTCATACCAAAATGTGCACAGAACATGTTGCTTAACTAGAATTTCAACGTCAGATTTCCCAAAAAGCTGGCGCATATAACTGCCTATGCCTCCAAACAGGGAATCAAAACAAAGGGGGGAAGGTATTGAGTAAATCCTTTTACCAAAAGCAATTAAAGTGTTTCCTGTAAGAAGCAAACGGATATGTGTTCGTGCAGGAAGCACTTCAAGTGCGTTTCTAAGATTCAATTGCATTTTTATTAAAGATTAGTTCTAAAAATATTGTCATAAAAAACGTTTTTAGTAATTTTAAAGCACTTCTAAACAATCCATAAAAATGCAATCAAACTGTGAAGAATTCATCAACTGTACCATCTGGTTGACCTAGCCAAAATCTGGTTGCATTTCACTGTCACAACCGACCCCAAGGGCCCCACTTAAAATCGATTAGAGTTGGTTCTGGTTTGAATTATGGATGTGGGTTCATGCTTATCACTAACTAATCGCCAACTTACAAGTTTCAAATACCCATAAGTTTATCTAAGGTGGGACACTAACAAATGATTAATGATAATGCAAGAGGTTTGTAACCCAATCGTCTCGAGTTTGATTGCCCACTTTCCAGTATCGCAGGCGTTTAAAATGAGACTCACATAAACTTGCATCTGACTGTGAGCCGTAAAGAGACATTTCAAATAAACAGTACGTTGTGGAGTGCTTCTTATAGTTTGCTAATTACGATAAAGAAACAATTATAATATGGGAATGACAAGGGGTAGTGTGTGGGAGTCAGCCACCACAATGTGAGGCTGGTAAAGGTTGGTGATAACAATTATATATTACCACAAATATGGCGCACACTAAAGTATGTCTAATTTTTTATTACAAAAATTAATGAAAAGTTGAAAAAAAAACTGCTCTTTTAATGAAAAGTTATTTAAAAAAGTATAGTGAATAGTATCAAGAAAAAGTATAAATATGTTTTTTCGTTAAAAGTGAATAGTACTAGAAATGTTTGGTTAAACTTTCATTTTTTTTATTTTGTTCTTACTGTTTGCAACTCCAGAAGGCCATTTCAGCATCAATTTATATCACTCTCAGTCTCTCACCACAAAGAAAGTTAATCATCTTTTTATCAAATTTCAAACATAATTAATTTAAAGTAAAACATCGCTTTTATAAGAAAAAATTATTACCGACGGGTGAGGATGTTGTAGATGAAACTTCTTTGTCGTTTGAATCTCCTTTGCAGATTATCTTCTTCTCCCCACCTCTCTGAGACCATTTCCGGGAAAGATTTCTCTGCATCTTTATCATTAAAGATAAATAATTCGTCAACAATTTTAATTTTAAAATGGAAAAAGAAAGCAAAGAAGGGTAGAAAACAGAGTTTAAAAAACAAATATGAACAACTTGCAATTGCAATTGCAATTTTACTTTTGATGTCTCAAACAATGATGCTTGCTGTTGCTTGAGAAACAAATACGACTGCAGTCTCAAGAATGTGAACTACTCTAATTTACAAGGACGAGAATTCAAAGTCAGGTGAAAGGGGACTGAAATTTTTTTCTGAACCTGCTAACCTAACCAACGTTTACTAAAAGAAAACGCCATGATTAATTGGGAGAATAACTACTAAAGATTGCCACTTTTAAGAAATCCAATGAGAAAAAAAAAAAAACTGGAAAATGCACACACTCTTATGAAAAAAATAAATAAATGGGAGGAAGAAGAACGTTACCGAGACTCTAGAATTTGCAGTGACATCTTTATCGGTGCCGCCATGGGAGAAGCTTTCCATGTCGATGACGAAGCTGTCAGATTTATCAGCGGTGTAATGAAACCCGTTTATATGATCCGAAACCGATATTTTCTGGGTTCCCATTCTCTCTTCTAATCCATAAACCTCCCCAGAATCAGAATCCTAAACCAAAATCCAAAAACCCGAATTCAGAAACGGCGTCCCTGTAAGTACTAATTAAAAACTTTTCTGAAAATTTGGAACTCCAACGGAACAGTTACAATACGAAAATGGAGCAATTTTCGAGAACCCAATTAAAAAATAAATAAAACCCAGAAAATGTATAATTTAGTTTTGCTTACCAACTTTGGATTTTCCGCCATTTTTCTGTCGCTCTGTAGAAAAATGAAAGCTCGGAGGAACAGATAAATGGAGGAGGAGAAGAGAAGGGGCCGTATCAGGAGCGTCAGAATTTGCGTACCGAACGGGACAATCAACAGACACCACCTGATTGCGAAATAAGAAAATTTGAAAAATAAGATCGAAAGAAAACTATCCAAATAAGTCAAACTGGAGGGATTTAACTGGAATAAGCAAATAGCAGATGAAACAAAGCCCGTGAATTATACGAAAGAAACTCACTTTGTACACGAAGGCTGCGACTTTCTGATTATTTTGTTCACTTTTTCTTCTTCTTCCAACTGCTCAAGTCGTTGAAAAAAGTTTAGAAACCCCAGCGCACGTAATAACCCACAAGAGAAGATTAAGTCTTTTATCTTGTTTCTTCAACAAAACCCTGTTGCAGAAGAGAAAATGGAGACTTGGAGAGAGAGAGAGAGAGAGAGAGAGAGAGAGAGAAGTTGGTAGTTTTGGCTGCGGAGGAAGGGACAGAAATTAAGAAAGGGAGTGAGGATGCGAGAATGTGATCATGTGGGGAGTGTTTTTTATACCACGAGTTGGTGTTTAATTATAATCGTGACGTTTTTATTCCTTAATCACTTGCGTTATAATTTTTTTTATAGTACCTTCAGATTCATCTTACGATAAATTAAACTGCCAACTTAAATAATTCTCCGAATCTTTTTTATCTGTAAAATCTAATCTCCTCATCAAATATCTAAACCAACCATATCCAATTGTATAAAATCTTATTAACTTTGCATATCTAATTTCATCCCAGCTTTTATCAATTATAATTCAAACCAGTTAGTTACAAAGTATCAAAAATTAAGATTATGTGGTTTTGAAAATTGGAATTCCTTTCTTCTTAAAGGCATGAACCCTGTTTATATGAATTTTTTCAAAACAAGTCCCTCTTTCTTTTTCATATGCCAAAAAGAAAAAACAAAAAACTCATGAGAGAAGGGGAGTGAACGATCGAGAGAGAGGGAGAGAGGAAAGGGATGTGGAGGAGAGAAACAGTAAGGGAAGAAGATGAACGTTCACGCGACAAATTTTTTCAATTTAATCATTTCGTAGGATTATTTGTGTCTCAGTGTAACATAAAATTATTTAAGTTGATAACTTAATCTGCAATAAGATTAATAAAAAAAATTCTTATTACTTCATTTGACATAAAACTTTAAAGTGCTTTTGTGACATATTAACGTTTTCTAGAGAAACACACATACTCTTTGATCAATTGTAGGATGGAGAGATCACAAGAGTCCCATGGTAATGACCCTACACCCGCCCAATTAGTAGAACATTCTGTCATGTTATTTTCTGCTTTTGTTTTTAGAGATCCTGTCATATTCCACGCAAATTCGGTTCTGGATTAATTAATCAAACAAGAAAAGTGGTTTTTTAATCTCTAATTATAATATAGATGGCAACATTTATTTAACTTGTAAAGCTAATCTTACTAGAAGGGGAAACAACAAAATATGGAATTCGAATTTCCATTGATTGTTGTTAAGGTTCACTTAGGATCCATATAAACCCAATCACCTGGATAATCCCACATTAAGAATCTACAGATTGGAGAATTTCAAAAGCCATGACCAAAAATAAAATGACAAGTGATTTTCAATTTTCGTTTTCTTTATTTATATCCTTTGTCCTAACATTTTCTTTAGAAAGTTTACCTTGTATAAATAAATCTAAATTTAGTGTAAATCATGGATAATTTGTGACTTGTTTGGGAAGCGTTTTTAAATTATTGAAAGCACAAAATAAGGTTAACTTGGTCAATCTAATAGCCATCATACTGACAGATACGAGAGTGTGACAAGCACATGAAGTAGCAAAAAAATATAGCCAATGCCCAAAAATAAAAACTTTAAACTTGACAACTAGACGTTCAGTCACTTCATAACTAGCCACATTAGAGATTTTGCCTCCAAAACCACCAACAAAATTACATACACTCAACAAATACAATTTTATCTTCGGAATAAAAAAAATAAATACAATTTTATCTTCCCAAGCCATAAATTGATTAACTTATCAATTTATTTCAAAATTTTGGAGATATCTTATCATTTATAGACAAAAAGGTTGGATAACAATTTCTGAAAAAATGAGCTGAACTGAATTTAGTATGTGAGTAGTATACATACGATTGTAGATAAGGTAAGATTTACCATTCTTTGCCAATCTCCACCAGAAAAACAAAGGAAATACGAAAGCAAAAAGAGGCAGTCAATTTACATGTGAAAGATCGTTCAATCTAATTCCTGACCAACCGGTCTAACTCGTATATATAATGACTACACACACTTATCAAAATGTTTTTAATCTGAGACCATCAGTATTATTGAGAATTTAAATATTGAGAACATTTGGGCATCAGAATGTGTAAAAGTTAGGAGCATCTACATAAAAAGCCTCATGTTTTTATTTCTGGCCAAATAAATAATTAAATAAAACCCCTCATGCTTTTTAGAACTGAAGTTAAGGTTTAGATTAACTAAAACAAAAAGTAAAAAGAAGATTAGAAAAGGGAATGACGATAGATTAGAACCTTAATTAACAAGTGAGATAAACATGAAAGGAACATGATGAGGCAAGCAAGGTCATATCAGGGTATACGCCTTCTTCTTCCTTGTTCGTTTCCTCCCTATCTTCCTCACTTTACTATGTTTGCGATGGAACATAAATCGTGCCCACCTTTGTCATTATTTATTTCTTTAACAACTAATTTTGGTAGCCCTCTAGTAATGCGTTATATTAGTATTTCCCTCTATTTATAAGTAATTTTTTTTTAGATTTAACTCTTATAGATAACGAATTTGATATTAAATTATGATTGACTGATTGTGGCTTAACTCAAATCCTCCTCAACATAGTTTGTAAAAAAAAAGGAATTGTTATTGACGCATCAAAATTCTTATTTTGAAGTATAAACTTTATATATTTAGAAGAAAAAAAAATTACCAGTAAAGAGTGGACAATAAACTTTTCAAAGTGCCAATAACAACTACTAATTTATGTTAATTTTTCTTCTTTTTCTACCTTCGAAATATATTAGTTCTGAATTATTTTTATGGTGAGAAGTCAGAACACATGACCTCCAAATCGTCGTCCTTTTTATTCCTTTGGGTCTCTGCAATAGGCAATAGCTTTATATAATATGTGAAGCAAATGCTTTCTTTGTTTTCGGTAATGGATGAATTAGAAGGACAAGTCATCACCAGTTTTTTTTTATTTTGTTTTGTGCAGAACAGGTAATAGTCACTTTTGTGGACGCAACATGCTTAATCTAATATTAGTCTCCTTCTTTTGATCTATAGCTCAAGCAAATTCCCGTCACGTATCATTTGATCTAATTTAACGGACGATGTCATTTAATTTTTGTTATTTTATTATTTTCACCTCTAGGTAGATAAATCACAATTTTATTAAACCATAAAATCCAAGAGAAGATTCTATTATTATTCTAGATGAATTATCCAGCTAAATTTGAAGCTCCCATTGCTTTCCAAAAAATTTGTTGTGAAGCTTTAAATTTAATTGACTTCTACACCAACTTGTAGCAGTTGAGATGGACAACATGCGATTTCAGTTAATGTTGATTGTAGCTTTAAATAAAAACAAAATTGGGCAAGCTTCAAACTTATGAGAAGAACTTTTTTGTAACGGGGATGCTGTTGTAGTATTGTGAGATTGTCTTGGTGTATTTTCAAAGTTGTATTCTCATCAATATGGATAAGTGTATCTCCAGATTTTATATATAGACCAAATTTCTGTGCACATCTTCATTTTTTTTAGTTGCACAGTTACTTTTGAGGAAGCAAAATATTAAGCAACTTTCAGATTTTGTCAGTTCAGATTATAAGAACTTTCTTACAACAGAAATGCCACTTTTAATAGTACGTAGGATGGTTTGTACATCTTCACAGAATTATATTCAAGCAAATGTAAGTATGTTAATCTCGAATTTATAGACCAAATTATGTACGTAACGCATGAATCTTCAATTTTGAGGTGCAAAAGTGACTTTTTATGTTTTGAGTAAGCAAGATATTAGGCAATTACAGCTAAGATTAAATTTCCTTTGGTTCTTTGGTTCTTTGTGACAACTTGTATCACTTGAGAAGGACTGCCTTAAATTATTCAGTTCCAGACACTGCAGGCAATGTCGGAAAAAACAAACATAGGATGGATCCACTTTTGTCTATATTGACGTTTGGGCAGTCGAATCTCTTGAAAAACAGACTAAATGGAAGTCACTTTCAAGATCTTAAAATATAAAAAAAGGTGATCGCGTGAAGGGGAAAATCACTGATTTTTATTGTTCATACATTTATCCCATTTATTTTGTTCATCCTATATGTATCTTTAGTTTCGGTTTCCTCCCTCTTGGACATTACCACCATTGATGGTTGTGATTTGCACCAGAATATTTAGTTTGGATCGACTCCATTAATGAAGAATGAAGGAACTGAAAGGAGAGATCCACAACAGGATGAGGTGCAAATTGACGTTTATGGCCAGAAGTGCAGGATCATTAGGGTTTAGGGCATGCATATCCTTATCTCATCTAAGCCATGCAAATACTGTTCAAAAGTTACAGGAAGGGAATTAAAAATCTACATTTATTATTTAAACAATAAAAAATTTACAAACCCTACTGTTATAAATAGGCAAAAAGAGAGGGAATCGTTGCTAGAAATCGAAGTTAAACGGGAGTAATGTATCACACTATTTATTTTCTTAAACGTATCAGACAATAATGTAGAAGAAGAGATGGGAGAGAGATTTGTATTATCGTTGTTTCTGTTGATGATCTTTTATGTTGTTTGTAAAGAAAAAGTGAAGTTGTTTCGGTGTGTTTTTTTCGGAGTCATAATATGACTCATATATATATATATATATATCAGGCCCTTTATGGAAAGGGATTCACTCTACATTGAATTTCAACGATATAAACTGTCTATTTTGTAAGTCTCGATTCATAGATCATTCTTACAAAAATTCAATTCAATTCGAAACCATTTGCCTATTTAATTATCAAAATCAAATTTCTTGTTTCTTATAGAACAAAGTATTTGTTCATTTCTTTGAACCCAATTAGTTATCTTAAATATTTCCGATTTGGCTAATATTTTGCAAGGATGATCTATGAAGTACAACTTGAAAAATAAACAGTTCAGATCGTTAAAATTCGATATGGTATGAACCCATAACTAATTCTCATTTTTATAAACAAATGGAGATCCGTTCTCTTACAATGTACACAATCATAAAGCAAAAGATGTTGTAACAAATAGTGAGAACTATTTACCCTACACAAAAGTCTTCGATGAATAGTAAAGGCTTATCCAACCCACAAGGGACATCCATACTTACAACACCCACACGTATTGAACTGCATTATTAATGAAAATGAGACAATATATGGTTTCTGCGGGAGCATGTAAGTACTGTATAAAATTGTCATATTTGGGAGTCAAAACGAGGAAAACAATGAATATATAAAAGGTCTTATAAGATTGTCATGTTTGTTTTGTTATAATAACAAAAAAAAAACTTTAACGAAAAACTTCCGGTACTGTTTACTTTAACGAAAAACTATATTTTTACACTAAAAAGTCAATCCTGGTACTATTCACTTTACCCTTATTTGGTCCTTATCGTTAAAACTCAAAGTTTTCAAACCTTTTTCATTAGTTTTCCTTAACAAAAAATCTTTGTTTTCTAAGTGCTCCATATCTATATAGGCATATATTTAGTCTGAAATTCAAATGAAGTAAAATTCGTAGAGCTGTAAGTTGTTGCTTCCCCACTGATTGTGTAGTCTTCTGCGTTGTGTTTGCTTCTTCATTTTCCCCGCTGATTATGTAGGCTTCTGCTTTGTGTTTGCTTCTTCATTTACAGCAAATGAATATATATGAAAACTGTCTAGTCATTTATCCAAAATCAAGAAAGGAGAATGTTTATCTCTGTATTTATCTTACTAATTAATTTGGTTTCTGTTGTATTATAATTCATTATTTCTTTTCGATCTGGCGCGCGCAATCATAGACTCATATTATATTTCCAGTTTCCAAATACTGTTTATGCAGACATCCAGGCCAGCTAATATTGCCAGGTCGAAATCCCCTCACCTGTCTATTTTTTGTGATCTTAGCCAATCAGAAATAGACACGAGCTTCCAATTTCTTCCATGGTGCATGCCTGATATATATATGTGAAGTAGATCCGTGACATTATTTTTCAACACAACTTTTAAAACAAGTTTTTGTGAAGCATAGTCTGTAATATATTTTAATATTTTAACAATTGGAACGGTTTATCTTTTAAAACTTCACTTGTAAATCATTGCAAAGAATTAGACAAATCTAAAATCATTAAGACATTTATTTGTAATGAAGAAAATAGACGAATATGGTTCTACAAAAAAATCGTAGACCCTAAATCCATATGATTGATTATTGATAGACATGATCTTTGAGTGAAGACCGAAAAGATAGACTGTTCGATTGTTAAAATATATTACGACACTAGTACAAAAACATGTTTGCGCGACGAAAACTTGCGCGATGCAGCTAAATGCGTCGCGCAAAGTATGTTTGCGTGACGTTAAACACAAAACGTCGCGCAAATGGCGTTTGCGCGACTGCACTTTGCGCGACAAAGATTGGCGTCGCGCAAAACAGTATTGCGCGACGCCAATCTTCGTCGCGCAAAGTGCAGTTGCGCAAACGCCATTTGCGCGACGTTTTGTACGTCCCGCAAGATTTTGGCGCTAAAGAAAGTAAGTTTTACCGCTTTTTCTGTTGACTTTGCGTGACGCAGGGCTGCGTGAGTTGCGCAAAACAGCTTTGCGCGACGCACGTGCACTTACGTCGTGCAAAACATCTTTGCGTGACGTATGTGGCGTCGCGCAAAACAGCTTTGCGCGATGTATGTGCACGTGCGTCGCGCAAAGCTGTTTTGCGCGACTCACGCAGCCCTGCGTCACGCAAAGTCAACAGAAAAAGCGGTAAAAATACTTTCCCCGAGTATAAATACTTTAAATTGACGATCGAATTAGTTCATTATATTCATATAGGGTCAAGGAGTGTAGCTGTAAAAAATCATCAAAATCGGAGTTAAAACTACCGTTAAATCGTTATTTTTCATTTATAACCGTCGAAAAGTTTTGTCGCGTTACTTGATCTCTAAATGTTTTTTTTTTCCTATTTTTGGCGTATGCGATCTCGAAGCATATACAAACAAGTTTGACGGATGGATCGTTGAAACTAGTTCCGTACAATGTGTTTCCCTTTAAAATGGTAGATTTACTAACACTTAGAGTTTATTAATACTTTTATTAACTATAACATAAGATTTTGTGGTATCCACTTGTGTAAATACTTTAAATTGATGATCGAATTAGTTCATTGTATTCATATAGGGTCAAGGAGTGTAGCTGTAAAAAATCATCAAAATCGGAGTTAAAACTACCGTTAAATCGTTATTTTTCATTTACAACCGTCGAAAAGTTTTGTCGCGTTACTTGATTCCCGAGGAGACAAAGAAACTAGTGCGAGAAAACTTGTCGGTTAGTATATTAATTTTTAGCCTTTATCATTTTTTTAATTTTGTTTACAAATATTAAAAACCAAAATATATTATCTTAATATTATTAAATTTCTTACTATTATTTTATTATTTTTCATATTCGTAGGTCAATTTTGATCTTGACGACATATCCCCTGAGGTCATGGCCTACTTAGAGGATACCTTAGCAAATCGGTACAAACATTGGAAGAACTATCTTCACACGCATTTTAAGCGATGGGATGATCCGGAGTTTGCTCGCCTACATGGTTGCCCAACCGAGCTGCAGGACCGGCCGGAGGATTGGGAGTGGCTCTGCAAACATTTTACGGACCCAAAATTTGTGGTATGTACATAATATTTTAATAATAATTTATTATTGTTTTAGTTATTTTTTTAAGCTTCCTTTATTAATTTATTTTAAATAATCGCACTAACATGTATATTGTGTGTTTAACAGAAGAAATCTATTGCTGGCAAGATAGCTCGGGACTCAAAGACACTTCTCCACCATTCTGGTTCGAAGCCCTTTTCGTATAGGATTGAGGCACGACGTCAGGTAAAAGTATATTAATTTTGAAATTTTATTCAATTTATTTATTATTATTTATTAATAAAATTTTCTTAATGTTTGTTTCTTCAGGAGGGTTCTAAGTTCCCAGAGATCGACATGTTCGAGGACGTTTACGTTCGACCTGGTGATGAGATAACTAAGTAGCTTCATGTAAGTATATGTAATTGTTATTATTCTTATATGTATGAATCGTTCAAATATTATTTATATTATGTTATTAAACATTATATGTTTTTTCCTTTATTATTACAGGATGCTATGGTGGAACAGCGCACTACTGTTCTCCAAGAAGCAACATCACAACTTCCCCCGGAGACCTTGATCGAGGACGCCACGATACCCGAGGATGCAGGTTTTCAGATCCTGACTAATGTCATGGATCAAAACTTCGGTCGTCGTCCTGGCAAAGTTGTTCGGGGTATGGGAAAAGCGCGAGTTCGTGAGACGGGTGCCTCTTCTTCCAGATCAAACACAGGAGAGGTCAGTGCATTGAAGGAGGAAGTGACAACCCTAAAGGGTCAACTTGCTGTCCAGAGTGAGCAAATGAGGGCCCGGGACAAGCAGATGAGGGCCCAGGGCGAGCAGATTAAGGCCCAGGGCGAGCATGTGAAGGCCTATGCCGGACACATGAGAGACCTTGTACGAGCCATACAGATGTCCGGCCTCCAAATCTCACTACCAGTACCTGATCTTCCTACACCTTCGACTTCTGAGCCACTTTGCCCTACCGATACCTAGTAGCTTGATGTATCAAACCTAAAAGACTACTTGTAGTTTTTTCTTATTTTTTTGTTTGGACATTTTGTATGTATATTTTCATATATTTATAACTAAATACTTTTCGTTGGTTAATTAATTATCGTTTAGAGTTTAATTAAGATATTTATTAAAAATTAAAAAAATATTTTTTTTGACCAAAAAAAAAAAGAAAAAAAAGAGGTTTGCGCGACGTAGGTAGAATCTTCGTCGCGCCAACCTCTTTGCGCGACACAAGACTCTACGTCGCGCAAAGTGGCTTTGCGCGACGCACGACCCTACGTCGCGCAAAGTGGCTTAACGCGACGCACGACCCTACGTCGCGCAAAGCCACTTAGCGCGACGTAGGACCTTACGTCGCGCCAACCTCTTCGCGCGACGCACGACCTTACGTCGCGCAAAGCCACTTCGCGCGACGTAGGGTCGCGCGTCGCGCAAAGCCACTTCGCGCGACACACGACCTTACGTCGCGCAAATCCACTTCGCGCGACGTAAGGTCGTGCGTCGCGCGAAGAGGTTGGCGCGACGTAGGTAGAATCTTCGTCGCACGAAGTGTTTGCGCAACGTAGGGGATGCGTCGCGCAAAGAGACTTTGTGCGACGTAGGGGGAATCTTCGTCGCGCAAACCCCTTCTGTCACTGCCTTGCCGCGACGGTTAGTGCGCGACGAAGGTGCGTTGAGCTAAGTTTTGCGCGATGATTTTTGACTTTGCGCGACGCATCCCCTACGTCGCGCAAAGTGTTTTTTGTACTAGTGCGAAGTGAGCCCCTTAAAGACGTAAATAAAAAATTATGTAAAAAAAAAATGATACCGCGAATCCGTCCGCATATATATAGTACACACAATGAAATTTCTAATCAAAGAGGTATTATACACGTGTGGAGATGTCATAATTTATAATAGTTATATCTCACAATAATGCAACATATATATATGAAACGAATCATCAACACTATTACTTGGTAGTGGACAAAAGAAAACTTGTTTATTCAATTTCAAATGGTGGTTGGATATGGAATGCTATGGAAGTTGCATTATATATAATCATGAAATTATGACTTGTATATGTGGATGTGGTGGGGTTTCAATTTCAATATATCATCAGAAAGCATTCAAAGTAATATCCCATTCATCGATCATTCACCAAAGAATCTTTGTTGGTCATAATTATACTCCTAGCTTTTGTTGAATGAACAAACTATAACATTACAAGTTTCATCTGAAAATGATGTGGCTTAGGTTTTAATTACTTTCAAGCATTTTTGGCAGCTCCAAAGGGCATGGAACTTAATTGCTCCAAATCATGGCCAAATGGTTAGGTGATAAATGTCAAAAAATTGAACACGATCTAACAGAAGTAACTTAGAAAATAAACAATTTCGATCATTGTGCAACATTACAGGATAAAAATGAGAACTATATCGAAGAGTCAAAGAATTTAAGCCAAAATATCAAATGAAAGTAGAGAAAGTTCAAATGAAAAAGATGCTGACGTTACTCAAAAGGGTTATAGCTAGTAAGATTCAAGACTCAAACGTTCTTTGTTAAGACTTCTAAATGTTCATGATCGATAGATTGCTTGATGTGCTGCCATAAACTTACTTGAAATACAAAATTAAATTCCCCTAGAAATTAGTAAGACTTTGAACTCAATCATGTTAAAAGTTTCACGAAATACTACATTTGCATTGGTAATATCCATCACATGCTATTTTACATATAGGTCGCTTTTGCTTGAAGGATGGGGGAAATATATTACATGGCCTGCAGAGTTGTGCAAGCGTGATCCAATAAAGGAAGGTCTCAAAAGATAAGCCGTGGCCCTATCCTTGGACCTTTGCCCTGGCCTCCAAGGGACAGACAAGTTATTGGGCGTTGACTGATGAGGACTCGACTGGTAACTAGCTAGTTACGTTGCTCTCGTTCCATATGTACGTACATTGTCTGAGTCCTGGAAGTTAATTGGAATCTTCGGTTGATCTCAATTGTTCATCAAAGTTACCATATGTTATCCTCCAAAAGAGAACTCAAGTTCAAAGTTGTAAGTAAGAGGCAGAACAAAAGGAGAAATGGCCTAACGGCATCTCTAAAAGATGTTGTAAAACAACCACAGCTTTATTTGAAAGATTCAAACTTAAAAAATTCATATTTAAGAGATGTAGTAAAAGAATCTCGATTGTAGTAAAATGAACCGTTGCTCTTTAACCTTAAGAGTCTAACTATTCACTTGCTAAATATAAAAAATATAATAAAACTCAAGGGTGTGAGAGAATTTTCAGTGTGCCCGAAACATGGGCGCACATGTATAATAACATTTGACGTACTATCCCGTGTTTCGGGCACACTGAAAAATCTCTCCAAGAATGGACTCTTGGTCAAAGAGAAAATGAAGAGAGAATGTTGTTTTAAGGAATAAGTGGGTTGAGTTTGAATTGTTAATAATAAATATTCAAAGTTTATTAAATCATAAAGTTTTAACAAAGATTGAAAAATTAAACTAAATAGCTAAACTAATTGTTTTTCACACTGTTTACTTGCTATTGTAAGAATTAGCATGAAAAATTAGAGTTTTTCTCTAATGACCAACTTGATGTGCATGCATGGACAATAAGAAGGACAAAATTTCAGAGACGTGACAAAGTTCCAATAAAACTGAAAGAGAAAGGGTATAGACGTGTGCTCCCATATATGATATGTAAACAGTTAGATTTCTAGTGACAGGCCGTAGGGTAATGTGCCTGGTCATCTGGTAGACATGGAGTTGGATTGATCTTTAAGATATCAAACGAAAGGAATAATTTACATAACTAACATGAATAAATATCTGAGTAGTGGAGTAGATTAATTATTTACACTAAGTGGTACTTTATCTACTCTCGAGCGTAATGTCGTAGTAGGATTTATACAGTTGACTTCACTTAGTATGATAAGTTTAGTAGTTGTTATTGTTGTTATTGGTACTTGCTCATAATTAAACATGCAAGAGTTAACTCTTTCTTTTTAATACATGTTGTTCGTATATTTATGATTATGATAACATAGCTTTCACAATGTTTAATTATGTATTATGTGCATTACATAATTAATAAGTGAATAACTATATATATATATATTTACATATTATTTTCAATTTTTTTAATACAACGAAATATATACATAAGAGGTGGGAGGGTAAATTGGTTTCAAACACATTATTCTTGAGATTTGAACATAATACATTTCACTTACAAATGAAAAAAATTCTATAAATTGTAATACTAAGTGACTATTTATTTATTCAATTAACTGAAAAGGATACGTTTGAAGTTACATCCATACAAAGAGTGGTAACTTCTCTTGAACAATTGTGATGAGTTTATATTGTGAAAGAATCAACATATTCTTACACATAACATTCTGATCAACAGTCTAACGACATTGTGTACTCGATCATGCACCGTTTCCATCACATGCAATCTATTTTGGGAGGACAGTAGCCAGAGATGAAAATGATATATAAATTGTTTTGGAATGTTTGTTTCCAGGGTCGAACATTGAAGTTTCTAGTCACAGAGACTTGACAAATTAAGCTATTTTGGTGAAAAACATTGACAACGACAGATCACGGGTTTTTTCGAACATTAGTCATTAAAAATATTGAAATTAAAAAAAAAAAAAAAAAACTATTGATTCTAATCCTTTGCAGTGTATCTTTTTAAAAAATTATATTCTATTTTTGTTATTTAATCTGTATTTTTATTTAATAGTTCCACATTAAAATTTTGATTTTATTAGTACACACATTTTAGTTCTTTCAATATAAATAAACTTAAATGAGAAAACACTAAAAGAAACTAGTCACACATAAGAAAAATACGTAAATTCATAAGTGTACAGAAATAATGATACCGAAATATATTAAATTGACTTCTTTGTACCGAAATATCTATACCTAATTATATTATAATGAATTAGTGTAGACTTAGAAAAAGAAAAATCATGAAATTATCCAAAAAATGACATGAAATATAAATGATGGCATTTAAATAGATACAAGAGATGAAATTCCATTTTAAATCTTGTACCAAGTATTAACCTAAACTTCATCTTGTTTAATGATTAAAATTTAGTTTTCTAATGATTAAATTACACTTTGTGGGAGTGGATTGTGGAGTGCTACTGATTCAAATGGGATCCCACTCCCACATGCAGAGCATCTTCACCGTCCACATCAAGGGCAGTTAAACTTAACCAATCAATTAATTTAAAACGCATACTCCATATAGACAGAATCACAGATATGATGGATCCAGGTGCGTCGGTTGGCACGACGATTCTGCTTTCTCGTCGCGACTCGATGGCGGTTCAAATTAGCCACCTCGAGACAGCCCAGCGCAATTGGCGTTGTACGTTAATTTATTTTGCATGCAATAATGCAATTGACTAGCACAAACAGACAACGTACGGGTGTCTGAAGTGTCACAGCGTCACAGTGTGGTGGTGGTGGTGGTGGTGGTGAGGGGGCGTGGGCTACCTTCTCGCTACATGCTCATATTACACGGGGTGATCTGTCATTGTCTATAGTCTCTAGTACAGATTATAGCCTAGGTCTGCATGCTGATAACTAATGAAATGATTTCTTGTAACCGGGATATGTTTGGGACTGTTTTTATAAGAGCAACTCCAATCTTGGGGATCTATACATAGGATGTAAACCACTTTTATATTATCATTGATATTTCGTAAGATGTAAATTTTGGTTTTGCTCCTATGCAATTGCGGATTCAGGATTTTAACATTCGATGATTCCAATGCAAAAGTTTTATTACATTGAACGGTAAATATTTTTCATTTATATCCATGGTTCAAACAAAATTACAAACCACAAATATTAAATTTGTTTACGTACGACGAGATGTATTACTATGGAAACTTTTCATGATAGTTCCATTATTAATACAAGAAAAAACATCTTTCTTGATGTAAACAATTAAACTATCATTTAACCACTAATCTCCTATATCAATTAAAAATAATAATTCATCGTTTATTTGACACACCCCGATCGAGATCAATTCATGCTGGCCGTCACGTGGAAGTGACGTAACCATGTGCACAGTGCGGAAGCTAATAAAATAATAATAAAAGTACGAATAAATAAAAACCAGCTTTACACAAAGTAAGAACATACATGTGCAAGCGTAAGTGTGAAAAACAAAGTACAGAGCATGAAGACCTAATGCAGTCCAGGAGAAACAACACTACATAAACACACCCAAAGGTGGTCCTACACTAGTGATAATCTGTCAGATATATCGGGGAAATCCTCTGGGGAGCCACCAAAAGTGCTAGCCAACTAGAACCTGGAGGGGCACAAAACAAAAAGTGTGAGTGGGCAAAAACAAAGCTTTTCAAAAACCATTTCATAAAACCTGTATACTTCCCAGAAAAATAGAGTATACACATATATACATAAATCATGCTCGGAAATATGCCATGTCAAATGTCTCTAAATAGAATGCAAGTGCTCAGGAATGTCAAATCAATGCCATGTAATCTGTCAGCTGGAGTCACCTAACGTGACCTGTATGGCTGAATCTAGAGCTCAAATCTGCATCTCGCTAACTATACATGCACATGAGTTGGAACCACCTAAAGTGGTCTGTACGACAGGACTGGGTGTAATATAAGTACGCTCAAGTGCTACAATCACGTGAAGGCTGGGCGAATAATCGCGGGTCACCTACGAGTCGGAACCACCTAAAGTGGTCTGTACGACAGGACTGTGCACCTAACTTGGATCCAAGATGAGCGTGTGGTGCGGGAGGTGAACATCACGTGAAGGACTATGCCCAACTCTGGGCGAGAGCACTAACACCGGGGGTGCAGGTTATGAGCTCTCTATGCATCTCAAATCACTACTGAACATAAACATAAACCATAACTTACCTGACACTTACCTGTGCGTCCACAGCACCAACACACATATATATATGCAACTAATAATGTGTAAATAAATGGCAAACAATAAGCATGGCATATAAACGTATAAACGTTTCATTTCACTTTTTGGGAAAAGTATAAGTATATAGGTATATACGGAAAACCAAAAGCCCACTCACTGGTATGTAGAAGGGTCGTAACCCCCTTGCCTCGAGTGACCGCGCTCATCCTCGGGATAGGTTTCACCTATATGCGAAACAACTATAAAAACGTTAATTTTTAAGCACATAACCAACATCACGAAATAACTTCTCATACATTGCTCAAATAGGGTGTCTGAATACACCAACGTGATCTACTCAACCTCAGGAACATCCCCATATTTTTAAAATAATTTTCTGACGCCGCACGCGCCCCCACACGCCGGCCAAGGCACGGCCACATGCAGGCACGTGCTTGGCACACTGACGGCGTCAATTAACGCCGTCAGGAATATTCCGTTAACTCTGACGGATTCCGTTAACGCCGTTCGGAATATTTCGTCCAAACTGACGGAATATTCCATCATCTTCTCCGGCGAAGCTCCGGCGTCGTCGCCAGCGCCGGAAAATCGGGAAAACTTTAAAACCTTGTATCTTCTTCGTTTTTCAACCAAATATCACAAAATTGGTACCAAAATGAAGCTTACAACAAGAGGAACAAATCCATACCACTTTCAAGCACTAAAACACACGGAATCTCGCCGGGAAAACACCACCAACTCCGGCCAAGCTTGTAACTCACGATCCCGACGTCCAAAACCTTCAAACGAACCACCTCGAGCCTCCTAAGGACCTCACCAAGCTTCCTACAAGCTTGAAATTCCCAAAAACACAAGAATTAACGTGTGCATGAATAGTGACCAAATCGGGGTATCCCGAGTTCGACGTGAAAACAAAGGTATCCTTACCTGAAATGGGTATGGTTGAACTCCCAAGGACCTCACGAGCACGAATATGTAATTTGTTTCCTCGATCTGTGAAGGTTTCAATGGTTTTTGGGTGTGTCCGTACATATGGGGATAGAAATAAGGGAGAGAGAAAGCTCGGGATAGGGATACAGGACAGGGAAAAGGGTGAGGGGGGGTGTGGGAGAGTGTGTGTGGTCCAAAACCAGCCAAGCAACACCCAAAAACAACCACACAACGAAACAACCATAATAGGGACAAAATCGTCATTTCACCCTTACGGTTCGAAAATCCGGAACGGGCTGTCACATTATTGAAGCTAAAAAATATATGAATTAACCATTACATAATCAATCAATATCAAAAAAATTATAAACTGCATCCCAATTTCTAATACTAAGTGTCCAAATTTTTTAGCCAATAAACATCAATTTCAATAATTAATATCCCTATATTATTAATTGAAAATTGGGGTTTTTTGAAATGGGTCCAAAGTAACTAAAAATTGGACCTATTTCAAAAATCAAAAGTCACTAAAAATTGGACATATTTCAAAAAGTAGTCTATAAAATTGGACCTATTTCAAATTTTCTCTTAAAAATTTTGGACAAAAACTATTAAAATCGGTGACGGTGGAGAGAGGTGGACCATGTGGTGGTAGAGTGCGTTGGGGTCGATGCATGGTTGGGCTTGGGAGTTGGTGAATAACGTTTGGGAATTGGGTTAGTTGGGTCGGCCCGGGTCTTTTAGGCGTAGGAAGAGAGTGTGTTTTTCAACTGACCGGAATCAAACGATGCCGTTTCTTCGTTCAAAGTTTACGTTGGACATCAGCCATGGAGGCCTCCTTTCCTCCACCACTTGTCCAGACCGTCGGGTGATCCTCAGAGGTCCTTACAGGCAAACCAACAGGGACCAAGATCTGCCCTTGCTCCAGTGTATAGATTTAAATAAGTAGGAACCATGTCCATCCCTACTCTTAAGGCTTTTACTTTTTTTTTTTTTTTTTATACAACAGAATATCTACTCCAAGGAGAATATAAATTAGGCTACACAAGAGGTGGCGGATTAATCTATTAGGTTATTAATAGATATCTGTTAAAACATGTTTAATTTGATATCATCATAATATAGAGGTGAGATTGGTAGCCATGATGATGATATAAGGTGAAATCAAACTAAATGAGTTTTAGTAGGCACCCACTAACAACTCAATGGGTTGATTTGCCACTTCTAAGCTACTCCAGACACCGAGTCCACCATAATCAAGTATAAAATTCATCACAAACATTATACGTTCTCGGTATCCCATGATTAGAAACGATTTTCACAGGATTATGTTCATTTTAGAATACGTACGTATACTTTCCAGAATCCGTAGGAAACCTTTATTCTTTCGTATACAATGCAAGAATATACCTATTCTTTTCTTTCTCCGTGCAAAAGAACCAAAGTGCTTTAACGTCCCTTCAATTCCCCGCCACCTTATTCACTTCACACAACATATGTAGACCAACTCCATTAACTAACAGTTCTATCCTACTGACCAAATCCCTCCTCTCGTACATTCTTTTCTCCCAGAAAATGTACAACTCCGACCAGTTGCCGATCGAGTACGCCACCCCAGAGCAACAACGACCCATGAAGCGTCAACACACCGCCCGGTACTACGCCCACCGCGTCCGCGAAAGTCTCACCACCCGGGTCTCCAAGGTCATATGCACCATTTTCTTAGGCCTCCTCCTCATCGTTGGCATCATAGCGTTCATACTATGGCTCAGTCTACGCCCCCACCGCCCAAGATTTCATATCCATGCATTTTCGGTTCCGGGTTTGGCTCAAGAAACCGGGTTCGAAAATGCTGAGATAACGTTCAATGCCACGGCCCGTAACGCGAACCATAATATTGGCATATATTATGGTTCGATGGACGGGACGGTGTACTATAGGGATCAACGGATTGGGTCAATAACGGGTTTACTGCAACCGTTTTATCAGGATTCGAAGAATACAACAATCGTGATGGGGTCGTTTAGGGGGGCCACTTTAACGGTTAATAACCAGCGTTGGATGGAGTTTTTGAATGATCGTAAAAGAGGAACGGTTGTGTTTCGGCTTGAAATTACGGCCGCGATCAGATTTAAGATTCGCGCTTGGTATAGCAAGCGCCACCGGATGCACGCCACCTGTGATGTTGATGTGGGCCCGGACGGCTTGATTTTGCCCATTTCTAAAGATAGGAGATGCCCTGTGTATTTCACCTGAGTAGGGAGATATTATTATTATTTTTTCTAATTATAAATTAGTTGGTGTTTCTCTTTCCCCATTGTTTTGGGGTTATTTGCTTTTGATTTGCCGAGGGACCACAGAAGTTGTGTGATTTATTTCATTTTGTGCAATCTTTCTCAATTAATTGGTTCAAATTATTGAATTTGGGGTCGAAATCTTTTCGATTCAAATATCCTTGCAGTGTTTCTTAACATTCTATTAAAACCATTATGGTTTCACCTTAAAAAAAAAAAAAAAAAAAAAAAAAAAAAAGAAAAAAAAAAAAGAGTGAACAAATTGAAACCTCAGAAATTGGTAGTGTAATTTTTAGAACCTCAACGGTTTTTATGAAAAACACGACAAAGTGCTGATGAATTAAAATGCCTAGAAAGGCCTTCAAGCATAATTTTCCTCTTCTTTTCTTGTTCCTTTAACTATTATTCCTCTATAACAATTTGAGGAGTGCCAGCAACTTTTGCACTAACATTTGCATTTGGACATTTTCACTTCTTCACCTGACACGTGTTAGGATGCAAGAAAAAAAGAGATGATCATGTACTAATATGAGCTATTTGGATGCAGGAAAAGAATTATGTTTTGTTCTCAAATTCCAATATGATCCACATAATATGTGCTTCCTCAATGCATAAACACTACCTTAATGAAGCTTACGATGCCATTTGCTTCGTCTTCAAATCGGATCCAAGGGAATTTAGGGGATAATCAATATATTAATCCTAGACAAGCAAGGGAATGAAAAGAGCTTACCCAAACCGCGTTCCGTCTCTTCCAAGGATTACAGGTTTCCTGTGACCTACAAATGTATCAGACTTTATCCTCCAATGTCAAGAAGAAAAGAACATATGCTCTTTAACTTGGATTACAAGCACCCTCCTTTGATATTCCTTCTTTTCCCTTTATTCTCCTCCTCATATAAACAACTAGTGCAACCCAATTCATTTAAAAATCTGAAGTCCATCTAATCCTCAGACGGAGAAATGTGCGAAACAAAGAATTTCTACTGCTGGGCTTTGCAATTTCTAGCTCTCCTGGGACTCCTAGCCCTCTGTCTATGGCTGGCCTTACGTCCAAAGGACCCTGTGTATACCATTGTTGATATCAACATCCCAAAATCCGATTTAGAGGACGGCGCAAACAATGGTTCTATCTTATATGCCCTTCAAATTGAAAATAGGAACAAAGACTCCAGTATTTTCTATGATGAGACAGTTTTAACGTTCTTGTATGGGTCAGATAGTGTTGGGGAGAAACATATACCGGCTTTTCATCAAGGAAGAGGTAAAACCCGTCAAGTGATTGATTATGTAGATGTCAATGCACGAGTTTGGAAAACTATCCGCAAGTCCCTATTGAATGCAACTGCAGAATTGAAGGTGGCTTTGCTTTCTCGGGTTCGGTATAAAACATGGGGAGTGAAGAGTAAGCATCATGGGCTAGACTTGCAAGGTAAATTATCAATTGGTTCAGATGGTAAGATTTTTGGTAAGAAGAAAAAAATTAAGCTAGGCCATTCTTCCAAGAAATGGAGAAGGAGCAATAGCCGACGATTACTAGATTAGATGTTTTCTTGTAAACTTACAATATGGCTCACCTTACTTTCACATTGTTGCTTATAATATACTCAGAATTGTTCCAATTGTTATTCTAGTAGATCACGCAATTCAACAATTTCTCAATTTGATAATAAAAGAGTATATTTGAGAGTAAGTTCTTCATTTGTGCCTAATATTAATATAAACCAAGAGCCTAGAGAGCTGGTGTGAACCAAACCAAAATTCCCTCCAAAATTTCAGTGCCAGATAAGAGTGCACCTGATTTTCCTTTCCAACGATTCTCAGGGTTCCACTTTTTTTATGTCCGATGGTAGTTTGCAACTTGTCTTCGTCACTCATGGAGATGAACCTAAAACACAAACAAATTATGTCATTTATATATCCCAAACATCCAACCATCACCCAGTTCCGGCTCCATATACTTGGTACGCAAACACAATACATGAAAACAAATTTCTTTTTATTCTCATTTATTTCAGAAGAAATTTGCAAGATGATACTTACAGCTGGGAAGCCACCATAATCACCAGGTCCTGTGATATCCTTCGTTACATAGCTAGTAGCAGCAAGCCATAGCTGCGAAGTCCATGTAATAAAATATTCAGCAATATTCGTAATCAATGAAAACATGTGAGAACACGAAAAAAATAGAATAGCAGTAGAAAAATTAAAAAATTACATGGTCACGAACTGCTACCCTCCCTCCCATAGTTACATAGTCTCCTATCCTATATGAGAATAAAAACAGGACAGCCATCAAATTTGGCAGATCTTCTGAATAATCGACCAAGTCGTTGAAGTGAAAGTGGATCATATCTTATCGCGGGCTTTCTAAATCAGAAAAATACAGAGGGGACAGAGAAAGAGCATACGTCACTGAGCCTGCAATCCCAACTTGTCCACAAAGTATGCAATTCTTCGCAACAACTACATTATGACCAATCTACAACAAGCAAACGGACAATTGTATACTATATTCCAGGAAAATTATCCAAGAACTTAAAAGGCAAAAGTTAACCTAAACTAAGTTGTCAATCGTTGCATGATCTCGTAACTGTATCTCTCCAACTTCATAAACCAAAGAATGCTACAAACTATTGCTCTAATTTCAATAGAATCTGAGTAAAACTTACTCAGAAAATATAGTAATGCATCTAAAATCAGTTTAAAAGATATCAAAGGCTCTATGTCTCACCTGCCCCTGTGAACGAACCTGGTTACTCTATCAAAATCAAATAAGTGAAAACATTAACAAGGCAATGTCGAGTTAAAAATTGATCCCAATTTTGGTTGATTGCCCAATAGTGAGGTCCAAGGACAGCTCTTGCCAAAAACGGATTTTGAATGAACAACAGCACCAAACTCAATGAAAACTGTTGGGTCGATGCAGGCAAACGTGTGGAAAGACCCACCTCCGTTATGCCATTGTTGGAATTCTGGATGAACGGTCGGAGCATCGCCCTCTGATCTTGAAATACAGAGCAGGTGCAGAAATGGTTGGTGACAAAACAGGTGTTGTCTCAGAGACAATTTCACAAGCACGTTCAGGGCATACCAGACGACACAAAGGAACTCTAACTATTTCCAATGCGCAACGGAAACAAGCTTTGAACGCATTGAAGATGTGGCGAGTAGCCGAATGCCGCTGCAAGTCTTCTCAGAGCGACTGCCATTGACTGAAGTCCGAGGAGTGACTCGGCGAGGAGGGAAAGCCCGTTTGTATTTGAACCTGCGTATCCAGTATCCACCGTGTTTGACCGGAAGGGCTTTTGTAACGGAAGGCATCTTCGTCTCCAAAATTTACGTTGGGCCCACATACATAGGTGTTGGGCTTGAAAGTCCAAGACAAGATATTATTCAGAACAGGTGCAAGTTGGATTACAAATTTCGATTTTTATCACTTCCGACCAAGTTAGTAACGAAAACTTTCAATGTTGTTGCACCCAAATGGAATTTGACATTCAAAATTCTGAAATAATATGGATCGAAATTGGGATGTGCATCTAAAATTTTTAATAATCTCAATATATCTTATTTCAAACATATTAAGATTTCAAATTATTTATACCGATTAACTTCATAATAAAATAAATACAATCTAATAACCACATAGAGTATGTTGTAAAAAAATTTCAAAATGTTGGGCATATTCAAGAGCTAAACTATTTTTGAAACGTAAGTTACCAACTTTTTGGAAAATTTGATTGCTTTTTTACGATATAAATGAATGAAAATGAAACTCATAATTTCAATTAGATTTGTCTGAAAATCAGGCATGCATACATGGAGAGTAGGCTAGGCAATGAACTTTAATTCTACTTGTGTGGCCAATAGGACATGCTAATCTCGCATGTATATAAATAAATAAATAAACCATAGAAGTCTAAGCATATTTTTTTAGGAATGTCGACGGTACAAGAACAATTTATTTATACAAAATCCAAAAGTGTGACTATTATGTTATTTAATGGTTTGTGGAAGTCTCTGTCACTATCTATTAGTTTTGAGTTAATATATCTTTCAACTTAGTGGTGTGACATTGACTGAATTACAAGCAAAACCATGACCAACTGTGAACAATTTCCAGGAAAATACAGCCAGTCGAAGGCTTTGTTTTCTAAGAACTTTTACTGATGTGATGTTAACTAATTTAATTCAACAAGTCTTCCAAGAAACTACCTATCAATTCACAAAAATTCAATGGTGCTCGTACTCCGAGAATTTTAACATATTTCGAGCAGGAAGGAGAAGACTTAAACGCTATATATAAAAGTTTCCCTAATCTTTTTCTATGATTAGAGATCAAAACATGGTTAATTTCCCTAGTGTTTCGAAATTTTTTTGCTTTGTTTTCTCATCACCCTCCTTTTTGATCTTGCTTATGCTGATCCTGATCCTCCATACAAGTTGTGCCCTGATGTTCGCGGTTATGTCGAAAATAGTACGTTTCAGAAAAACCTCCAGAGCCTGCTCAATTCATTGCCTTCAATTGCTTTTGTTTCCAAGCTGTACAATACTTCCGCCGGAAATGAACCAGATAGAGTTTGTGGCCTTTACATGTGCCTCAATTACGTTACAAATGAGATATGTCACAACTGCATCAACACTGCGCATTTAGACATTGTTAGGATTTGTCCCAACTCAACAGAATCAGTTGTGTGGGAGGAAACGTGCCAACTGCGCTATTCCGATGCGAAGTTCTATGGTGAATTGAATGTGACAGGCAACATTGCTGCCGCTAACAAGAAAAACGTTTCAAACCCAAAAAAGTTTGAGAACACTGTGAAGGAGAAGCTGAGGAAGCTTGCAAAGCAAGCGGCATATAATGCTTCAGCGAAAATGTATGCTACTGGAGATGTACAATTTGAAGATAAGGTGATATATGCTCTTGTGCAGTGCACTTGAGACTTATCTGGAGATGACTGTGATAAATGCCTTCAACACGCCATAGAAGACGTTTTGAGAAAGTATTATTTCTCCATTGGTGCGCGGCTTATGAGCCGGAGTTGCTATCTGAGGTACGAGTTGTATGGCTTCTATAATGGTGCACCTGAAGAGTCTATTTCCAGCTCTCCAAATAACAACAAAGGGGACGGTGAGTACTTTTAAGGTGTATGTCTATTTTGACGCTACAATGTTAAAAATTAACTGCAAATGCATGGTTGTTTTCAATGAAGGTAGAGGATGGCGGATCTCGATCCTTACGGTTGTGTCCGCATGTCTAGCCCTACTACTATTGCGTTCCTGTGTCTATCTTGCAATAAGAAAAAGAAACAAAAAAGGTTATAGTAATGCGTTCGGAAATGCTTTGGAGCTGATCATCACTCTAATATATTTTCCGAAAGCAGCTTTTCTTTCGATTGTTCAGGGAGTAGTGAGATTTTAAGACAACACATATTGTTCCCGGACCAAAGTTTTCAAGGCAGAAACCAGAAAGCGGAGGAGTACCCCTATATCAGTTCGGCATCTATACATGCAGCTACGGATAAATTTTCTGATTCAAATAAGCTCGGAGAAGGTGGTTTTGGGCCTGTTTACAAGGTATAAAGTCAAAGAAAATTGTTTCTTGAGCAAACTATGGACAAAAAGTTCACATATGCGAATATTGAATCGATATTTGTATTACAATCTTCCACTTGGTTTGTATTTCTGTGGTTTGAGTTAAAATCTGGCTGAAAAGAAGTGGCGATCAAGAGGCTTTCAAGCTGTTCTGAGCAAGGCTCAGAGGAATTCACAAATGAAGTTCGGCTGCTAATGAAACTTCAACATAAAAATCTTGTTCGCCTTTTGGGTTTTTGTGTTGAGGGAGAGGAAAAACTGCTTGTCTATGAATACCTGCCAAACAGCAGCCTAAATGTCCTCCTCTTTGGTATGTTTTCTCTTGATCTCTCAAAAATTTCTGTATTTGGGATTTAACTTCAACTGTTTTATACTATTGCTAAGATTTTACAATCAGAAATATTTTAGTCTGTAAATTCTCCTCCAATGATGCTTAGATTCAGAGAAACGAGCGCAGCTTGATTGGAGTAGACGTGTAAACATTATAAGTGGAATTGCAAGGGGAATTCTTTATTTACACGAGGACTCTCGACTTCGAATCATCCATAGAGACCTGAAAGCTAGCAATGTTTTATTGGACGATGATATGAACCCTAAGATCTCCGATTTTGGCATGGCAAGGATCTTTGCAGGAAGTGAAGGCCAAGCAAATACGACTACAATAGTTGGGACATAGTAAGTGCTTCATTTCTAAATTTTCTTTCCAATAGGAAACTTATGGTACTCAACATTTTGTTCTGGATTTTGGTATTCGAATTAGCGGATACATGGCTCCAAAATATGCAATGGAAGGAGTATATTCTGTCAAGTCTGATGTTTATGGTTTTGGAGTACTATTGCTTGAGATCATAACTGGGATAAGGAACGCCGGCTTTCATCAAATGAAACGTGTTCCTAGCCTTGTTAACATATGTAAGCTACTTTATGCACTTCTCTCAGAGCAAGACTCTTTGCAATTAAACAGCAGCTTAATGCTTATCCAATTGATTATGATGCAGGCATGGAAATTATGGCATGACGGAAAAGGGTTGGAGCTACTCGACCCACTACTGATCGATTCATGTGATCCAGATGAGTTTCTAAGATATCTTCATATCGGATTGTTGTGTGTCCAGGAAGATGCATATGACAGGCCAACCATGTCTTCTGCTATTGTAATGTTGAAAAGTGATACTGTAACTCTTAGCCAACCCGAGAAACCTGCTTTCACCACCGGAAGATTCACTGACCATTATACTGAGACAGTTGGTAATAGCTCTATTAATGGTCTAACAGTTTCTAACGTCATGCCGCGATAACACCATGAGCTTCATGAATCTGCACAAAGTTGAAGCTTTCCTGTGATTTCTTTGTCATGAAATTCTACACATGTTATCTATACCACAAAGTTTTGCTTAGTTCTGTTGTGTGAATATTATTAATAACTACAGAATACTGGCAGTTTAGCAGATACAAATTGCTAAGAACAACTGGTTTATTCCTTTCTAATGAGAATTAAAAAGGTGACACCAAGCCAATAAAGCTTCTTGCTTTGCAAGGGTCGGGAGAGGAAAATTTAGTTTACGTAACCTTTTCCTTACTTTATAAATAGACGCTATGACTCGAACCTGTGACCTTTCAGTCACAATTCATAAAGGTACAACCTTTCCATTGCACTAAGGCGTGCCCTCATTTCTAATGAGAATTGATGGTTTTATTTATTTTTGAATCTTTCTAACGGATTCGATTCATGGAATTTGACTTCATTTAAATTTTTTTTTTTTAATTGCGTTTGTTCGTCAACCACTACTCGAAACAATTTGGAAATGGCACTGATAGCTTGATAGCTCGTTTACTAATATTTAATAACCATTACGATGGAGTCCGCTAGCAGCAAATTAAAGCTAGATTTATCATAACTTGACACTAAAGTCTAAAACTATGATATCATTAGTAATGCTCATTGATCAGAATTCACCGTTAAGATGACTGTGATAATAATCAGGTTAAAAAGTAGTCAACATAATATAAAAAATTAGTAATTAAGTAAAGACTAAAACTAGTGATTGCTTAATCTGATGTTTCATTTGAAATAAGCTGATTTGGAATCTTGTTAACTTCAAATTCTACATGTCCAAGTCACCCCATGAGAATTTTCGCGGTCAAACAAATAGTTAAATAAAGAGACACAACTTGTTTAGCCAATCCTTAATCTCACACTTTAATCAAGTGCTGTAAGCATGGCTTAATTACATGTGATCAAGTTGCAAAGTCTTTGATAATTCAACAATTCAAATCGAATAATAATTTTCTCCACAAAAAAATCGAATAATACTTCACTACTCAAAAGATGAGTAGGAGTTCCTACTCAAAACTGACACACCTCGATCCCGATATGACATTGGGGTGGTCACGTGCTGGTCGACATCTTAAAGGTGACGAAAGCCATTTAATTTATGCAAAAGCTACAAACATGTGACACATGCAAAAATATTGGAATTAATCATGCGATAGGAACAAATAACACAACACTAAAGTTCAATAGCTAACAATTTAACATTTAGAAAATGCATGACATGTTCAGAGCATACGTCTATTACAGAGTACAAGCGGAAATTTGAGATAGAAAAGTGCTATTACAATAGATGCCAAAGCAGAGAATATAACAAGATATCACTGGTAGGGAATGCCTAGTAGCTCAGATCGTAATCCTTGTTCCTAGGTCTTGAAGGGGGCGCAAAACAAACATAAGTGGACCAAATTGATATATATACTAAAACAATTATCAACGTAATAACCCCCAAGTTTTATGAAAACACATATATTTCTGAAACCTAGCATACCGTGCAATGTCTCAAATCATAACTTGTATATATATATATATATATAAAATAATCACTAATGAATGTTCGATAACCCCCAGGCCCCATGCCGGCTCCCTGTCTCTGAACAGATAGTCAGAGAAAAATACACTTCAGGCCCCATGCCGGCTCCCCGTTCCTGTGCTAATAGCCAGAGGAAACACACTCCAGGCCCTACGATGCACAGACATGGCACATCGCCCGCGTATCGCGTGTCGGATACACAAATGAACACGATACGCCTCTGATACGGTCGGATACGCATTGGATACGTATCTGGATCAATAGATACGACATTTGACAGATGGATACGGGTATCCGACTGTTTAGATACGGGTATCCGACTGTCTAGATACAGATATCTGCACCATGGCCTTTGACACAATTTCGTGGAAGAAAACCTCATGACGGAGATGACGCAATCTGGTGGAAGGACGCCTCATGAAGAAGATGACGCAATTTGACGGAGGAAGGCGTCGCACGAAGACGACCCGATCTGGTGGAGGAGGCTTCACGAAGAAGATGACTGCTAGGTCGACATGCTGTTTTCTGTAGTAAAAAATGACACCACAATTTCTTTTATTTTTATTTCTTTAAAGGGTTTAAATGAGACTAAAGCCCAAAACTACATAGCCCACTGAATTTACATCACTACCATCCTTTATTTTTTGAGAGTTTGAACAATATAAATTAAATTTTGAGTAATTAATTTTTTCATTGTTATTTAAAATATATGTTTTAAATATATATTTATTATATAAATTGCCGTATCCATGCCGTATCGTGTCTTAGTTTTTAGAAATTTGACGTATCTCTGTGTCGTATCGTGTCGTATCCTCGTGTCCGTGTCCGTGTCCATGCAACGTAGTCCAGGCCCTATGTCAACACCAAACCGTCGCTCGGGATGGACCGGAATCTATCCATACGCCCCGTAGCGGAATAAAGACCACTAGGTAAGTGCAAAACCATTGAACATACATATATTGAAAAACAACTTCATAGTATAAAGTCATCCATCATCTATACTATAAAGATGTGTTCTAAACATGTTCTAAATATCATATCATCATCCATTGAATATTCTATAAGAACATAGGTTATAAGAAAAATAGTAATAATTCAAACTAGCTTTAGTAAACATGTTATCTCATAAACGTATTATAAAACATAGTCATCAAATCATGTTTTTCATGTATGCATTTCTACTATCAAAACATGCATTTTTAGAAGGGGTCTACTCACCGTACACTGTTGGTGCAAAGCCGTACCAAAAAAGAATAACGGAATCTCCACTATTAATTGCACCTATGTACATAAAGGGTATATTTAGTCAAACTCTACTCAAACGATTGAATTTGGAAAAATGAAATTAAAAAACGGGTCCAGGACGTCGAAATTAGCCTAGGAGAGGTCTCGGATAAAAACTCGAAATGTCAACTCGAAAGTCAAAGTCAACGGTCAACGTTGACCAAGTCAATGGTTGACATTGACCGGGTCAAAGTCAACGGTTCATGGGTTTGGATCGGACTGGGTCAAATGGGTCTGGGCTTAAGATTGGATCCAGATTTGGGCTTAAAGTTTAGGATTTTGGGAAATGGGCTGAAAGCCCAAGTTCTAAACGGCCCAAAGGCCTTTTTGGGTTAAAAAAAACAATTAAAAAAAAAGAAAAAAAAAAAAGGAAACGGGCTAGGGTATTGGGCTGATTCAAAACGGGCTTAAGGCCCTTGGGTTTTGGAAATGGCCTGAAAGGCCTTGGTTGGACGGAGATGAACGCCGAAGCTTTCCCAGCTCCGGCCGACTGCAAATGTGAACCTTAGACTCCGATCTAAGCACTAAAAGGAAGCATAAGGTGATAGGGGTAAGTTTATACCTTTGGTTCGTCGTGAAACGGCCAGTGGTGGTCGAAAAACTCCTCGACACTCACGGGTTTGCCGTAGATAGGTGTGCCTTCACCCGAGCCGATCTCATTCTAAAACCTTGGAAAATAACGAGATAACACTAAAAAAATCACATCCAGGCATCAATCTAACACGGATAGAAGGAACTCGAGGCTTACCTAATCGGAAAAATGAAGGAAACTCGCGGAGAGTTTTCTGGGTTTCGTCGTCCTCACTGTGACTGGGGAGAGAGAAGACTGATGAGGTTTTGATGGTGATGATGGTGGTGTTTTTCCTCGAGCAGGTGGTGCAGTTGTGTGTGTGTGTGATCACGGTGAAAGAGAGGGAGAGAGATGAGAGGGTTTTTGAGAGAGAGAAGGGGGTGCAGAGAAAGAGAGAGAGGAAAGAGGGTCACGAGGTGTGGGACAGAAAGAGAGAAGTGAGGAGAGCTGGGGTGCTGTCGCGTGGCAGCTTGGGGATAGAGAGAATCCCATTTCAAATCCTGATTGGGTAAAGGAATAAGGACTAAATTGATAGCTCCATAAATATTTTGGGGGAAAACGAAATTACACGTACAATTGGGGTGTAACAAAAACTATTCGTTATCGATTTATAGGACTTTGTGCTTATAATCATAAATGTCATATTATAAATCACTTTATAAAGATCGCCTCTGCAAAAAAAAAAAAAAAAAAAAATCAATTCAAATTAAGGTTGTTTAGTCATCGAACTGTATATGAACAAATGAACAGAATTAGTAAAAGTATTACGAATCGTCTATGTATTTGATCAAATAGTTGACCAAATGACCTTAGTTTTAATTTATTTATTTTGCAGACTTTATAGAGTGATTCATAATATGAACAGTTTTGATTATAAGCAGAAAGTTATGTAATTCAAACACAGAGAATTTTGAGTAGGAGTTCTTAGTCCTCCTTGAGCAGCCACCATTATTTCAATTTCTACATGTCCATTTAACCTGATTATATTCTATCTTCCTATAGCACTCATCACGTCGTTATCCTCACCTCCAATTTTTTCTGCCAAATTCCATGCTAAAGTCCAAACACCTTATAATAAATTACTAGTACTTTCATGGCTGCTCCTTTTAAGTAGAATGGTCAAACAACTAGTTAGACTTACACTAAATACTCTAGACACATGAACTCTAAGAGAGTCACATTTTAATACAAGTGCGCCTTATATGCGACTATGCCGCAAAGTCTTTGTTTATTCAACAATTAATCATATCATTTGAATACCATATGCTATTCCTGGTCTCTATCAACCTGCAGATCATGACTTTATTCAGCCGACTTGCGTCTTCGATCAGCAAGGAAGTTTCTGTGCTGTAATCAACGGTTAACCAGATAAAAACTTGTAGCCGAAACTTCACTGTCAAAACTGAAAAGTTATCAAAATAAATCATCAAATTGTTTCTTGCCATTGGCCTAATTCCGTGTTCACTGTGAACCCTTTCTAGAAATTGATAAAGATAAACTTCCTGTAATGCTTTTTGCAATTATTCTGCTGTTGATGCCAGCTGCCCTTTCTCCTACTGATCCCCTTACAAGTTTTTGTTCTGGTGGTGACAGAAAGAGCCAATTTGAAAGCAATCTCGAGCGGCTACTTGAGTCATTATCTTCCAACACTTCGATCAAAGGAGGTTTCTATAACGATACGATTGGAGATGGACGGGACGTAGTCTATGGACAAGCACTTTGTAGATGGGATGTTAACTCCACAATTTGTCAAAACTGTGTCGATGAAGCAAGGAAGAAAATCTTCAAGAGGTGCAAAACAACGGATGCAATGATTTGGTACGAGCTATGTCAAGTTCGATATTCTTACCGGATGTTCTTTCAACTAATGGTCTACACCGGAAACTATCCGGACAAGAATAATCGGGAGAAGAACGTATCAAAACCACACCATTTCAATGATGTATTGACCTGTTTAATGATAAACCTCTCTGAAGCAGCGGCGTTTAGTCCCTCCAAGAATATGTTTACAACTGGGAAAATTAAATTTTCTGGAAAGGATACAATTTATGGCTTACAGCAGTGCACTAGAGACATTTCTGCAGGTGAATGCCATAGCTGTTTGAATTCTGCTCGCACAGATCTTTTGGGATGTTGCTCTTCTCAACAAGGTGGAACTGTTGTTAGTAGGAATTGCAATGTGAGGTTTGAGCTGTTCCCCTTTTTTAACGACACGTCAAATTCTTAGGTAATCCATCCACATTCCAAAGGTTAGTGACTTTAAAGTTTCTTTTGTGAATTAATCATCTGTGCATGCACATTTTTCATGGTAAATTGTGGCTCAAGGAAGTTCGTCCTATTAAAAAGCAGGGGACAGATTAAAGAATGGGAAGGCAGTTATACTTGTTTCTGCATCCATCATACTGTTAGCAGCCATTGTATTTTGTGCTGTCTATCTCCGGCGCAAAAATTTGGCAAGCCCCACTGGAATCACAATCTCAGAAGAAGGGATGTTCATAATTTCTGAGAAGCTGGCCTTCATGGATCTTGCTACTATAGAGATAGCTACAAATGACTTTTCGGATTTAAACAAGCTTGGACAAGGTTGGTACTGTTTACAAGGTAATGATACTATGTATTATGGTTCTAAGTAGACTTAATTATGCAATAGTATTGATTCAATTATAGGCCGAAAAATGTATGTCATCTGATTTTGTCAATATTCTTTCAGGGTTTGCTACCAGATGGGAAAGAAGTTGCCGTCAAAAGACTGTCGAAGAAGTCATGGCAAGGCTTAGAGGAGTTCAAAAATGAGGTGGTAACCATTGCAAAACTTCAACACAAAAACCTGGTGCGGCTCTTGGCGTGCAGCTTTAAGGGAGAGGAAAAGCTCCTTTTATACGAGTTCATGCTAAATAAAAGCCTTGATGTTTTTATCTTTGGTTTGTTCACCTTACTCTTCTGCTATAATGTTCTTTTACTTTTACTTTCATACATCATATGAACACTGCACATGATAAATTGTACCGAATTTTCAGATTTGGAAAGACGAGCTGCACTCAATTGGAAGATTTATTACAACATTATTGAAGGCATTGCTAGAGGGCTTCTGTATCTTCATGAGGACTCGAGGCTTAGAATCATTCACAGGGATTTAAAGCCTAGCAATGTACTGTTGGACAATGAAATGGTTGCCAAAATATCAGACTTTGGCATGGCAAGGATATTTTGTGAGAGCCAGAACACAGCTAACAGCACTTGATAAAGTTTAGGGTGTGAGTGTGATGTGTAAGAGTATGCTAAGTCTAGAATTCGAAACTCTCCAATAAAAAAAAGAAAACAAAAAAGTGCAATAGGATAAAGTTTTAAAGCTTTTGGCCGTGAGAGAGTGCATTCATTAGTTTCAAAGCCAAAGATAGGTCAATTCGATACTTTCACAATGTAATGTTCTGAACTCATATGGTAAAAAGAACTGTTGAATTCAAAAAAAATGTTTATACAGCTTTGAGCTTTGTTGGTTTTTTTTGGTTTAGATCAAGGTCCTCGCATCATCGACCTCAAACCTATGATACGATATGATGATCCCAAAGACCAAATATCTCGAGCAAGTTCTTATGGGTCAATATATATTCTGTATCAAGTGTATAACTAAAATCCCTTCTGCTTAATTAACCTATTAATTACGAATATGGCAATTATGATGATTTTGTTTATCTTCATATGCATACTTAGCTTGCTCAGCTGCTCGGGTAATATTAATATTACCGCAAAAGTTTTTTATGACAACAGAGAATGCTGATGATGATTATGGAAGAATACTTAGAAAACTTGAGGAAGAAGAAGAAGCAAAATTCCGATCAAAATCACAAAGAATATGCCTCTGCAAATTCTTCCATATATTTCGGGGCACTCACTGAGCATATGAGCTCATACAAAACAACAATATAACCGTTGGGATGTACATCTAAAAACTTTAATAATCTCAATATATTTTATACGAACGTATTAAGGTTTCAAATTATTTACGCTGATTAACTTAATGATAAAATAAATATGATCTAATAATCACATAAAGTATGTTATAAAAAAAAAATCAAAATGTTAGGCACATTCAAGAGCCAAACTATTTTTGAAACGTAAGTTACCAAATTTTCTGAATTTTTTATTATTTTATTATTATTATTATTATTTTTTATTATTTTTACGACAGAATTGAATGAAAATGAAACTCATAATTCCAATTAGATTTTTCTGAAAATCAGGCATGCATACATGGAGAGTAGGTTAGGCAATGAAGTTTAATTCTTGTTGTGTGACCACAGAAAACACATGCTAATCTCGCGCGCGCGCGTGTGTGTGTATAAATAAACCACAGAAAACATGTGTGACTATTTTATTATTTGATGGTTTGTGGAAGTCTCTATTATCTATTAGTTTTGAGTTAATATATCTTTCAACTTGTGGCGTGGCATTGACTGAATTACAAGCAAAACCATGACCAACTGTGAGCAATTTCCTGGAAAATACAGCCAGTCGAAGGCTTTGTTTTTATAGAACTTTTACTGATGCGATATTAACTAATTTAATTCAACAGTCTTCCAAGAAACTACCTATCAATTCACAAAAATTCAATGGTGCTCGTACTCCGAGATTTTTAGCCATATTTCGAGCAGGAAGGAGAAGACTTAAGAGCTATATATAAAAGTTTCCCTAATCTTTTTCTATGATTAGAGATCAAAACATGGTTAATTTCCCTAGTATTCCGAAAACAATCTCTCTTTTTTTGCTTTGTTTTCTCATCACCCTCCTTTTTGATCTTGCTTATGCTGATCCTGATCCTCCATACAAGTTGTGCTCAGATGGTCGCGGTTATGTCGAAAATAGTACGTTTCAGAAAAACCTCCAGAGCCTGCTCAATTCATTTCCTTCAATTGCTTCTGTCTCCAAGCTGTACAATACTTCCGCCGGAATTGAACCAGATAGAATTTACGGCCTTTACATGTGCCTCAATTATGTTACGAATGAGATATGTCACAACTGCATCAACACCGCGCATTTAGACATTGTTAGGATTTGTCCCAACTCAACAGAAGCAGTTGTGTGGGAGGAAACGTGCCAACTGCGCTACTCCAATGTGAAGTTCTATGGTGAATTGAATGTGGCAGACAACATTGTGTCCGCTAACAAGAAAAACGTTTCAGACCCAAAAAAGTTTGAGAATACCGTAAGGAGAAGCTGAGGGAGCTTGCGAAGCAAGCGGCATATAATGCTTCAGCAAAAATGTATGCTACTGGAGATGTACAATATGAAGATAAAGTGATATATGCTCTTGTGCAGTGCACTAGAGACTTATCTGGAGATGACTGTGACAAATGCCTTTGGCACGCCATAGAAGACGTTTTGAGAAAGTATTATTTCTCCATTGGTGCGCGGCTTATGAGCCGGAGTTGCTATCTGAGGTACGAGTTGTATGGCTTCTATAATGGTGCAACTGAAGCTTCTATTTCCAGCTCTCCAAATAACAACAAAGGGGACGGTGAGTACTTTTAAGGTGTATGTCTATTTTGACGCTACAATGTTAAAAATTAACTGCAAATGCATAGTTGTTTCCAATGAAGGTAGAGGATGGCGGATCGGAATCCTTACGGTTGTGTCAGCATGTCTAGCCATACTACTTTTGGGTTCCTGTGTCTATCTTGCAATAAGAAAAAGAAACAAAAAGGGTAATAATAATGCGTTTGGAAATGCTTTAAAGCTGATCATCACTTTAATATATTTTCTGAAATCAGCTTTTCTTTCGATCTGTTCAGGGAGTAGTGAGATTTTAAGACAACATGTATCGTTCCCGGACCGAAGTTTTCAAGGCAGAAACCCGGAAGCTGAGGAATACCCCTATATCAGTTTGGCATCTATACATGCAGCTACGAATAAATTTTCTGATTCAAGTAAGCTCGGAGAAGGTGGTTTTGGGCCTGTTTACAAGGTATAAAGTAAAAGCAAATTGTTTCTTGAGCAAACTATGGACAAAAAGTTCACATATACGAAGATTAAATCGATATTTGTATTACTATCTTCCTCTTGTTTAGTATTTTCTGTTGTTTGATTTAAAATCTGGTTTTCCACAGGGTGTACTGAGTGACGGAAAAGAAGTGGCGATCAAGAGGCTTTCAAGCTGTTCTGAGCAAGGCTCAGTGGAATTCACGAATGAAGTTCGGCTGCTAATGAAGCTTCAACATAAAAATCTTGTTCAGCTTTTGGGTTTTTGTGTTGAGGGAGAGGAAAAACTGCTTGTCTATGAATACCTGCCAAACAGCAGCCTAAATCTCTTCCTCTTTGGTATGTTTTCTCATATGACCTCTCGAAAATTTCTGTATTTGGGATTTAACTTCAACTGTTTTATACTATTGCTAAGATTTTACAATCAGAAATATTTTAGTCTGTAAATTCTCCTCCAATGATGCTTAGATTCAGAGAAACGAGCGCAGCTTGATTGGAGTAGACGTGTAAACATTATAAGTGGAATTGCAAGGGGAATTCTTTATTTACACGAGGACTCTCGACTTCAAATCATCCATAGAGACCTGAAAGCTAGCAATGTTTTATTGGACGATGATATGAACCCTAAGATCTCCGATTTTGGCATGGCAAGGATCTTTGCAGGAAGTGAAGGCCAAGCAAATACGACAACAGTAGTTGGGACTTAGTAAGTGCTTCATAAGCATTTCTAAATTTTCTTTCCACTAGGAAACTTATGGTACTCAACATTTTGTTCTGGATTTTGGTATTGGAATCAGCGGATACATGGCTCCAGAATATGCAATGGAGGGAGTATATTCTGTCAAGTCTGATGTTTATGGTTTCGGAGTACTATTGCTTGAGATCATAACTGGGAGAAGGAACGCCGGCTTTCATCAAATAAAACGTGTTCCTAGCCTTGTAACATATGTAAGTTACTTCATGCACTTCTCTTAGAGCAAGAGTCTTTGCACTTAAACAGCAGCTTAATGCTTATCCAATTGACTATGATGCAGGCATGGAAATTATGGCATGACAGAAAAGGGTTGGAGCTACTCGACCCACTGCTGCTCGATTCATGTGATTCAAATGAGTTTCTAAGATATCTCCATATCGGATTGTTGTGTGTCCAGGAAGATGCGTATGACAGGCCAACCATGTCTTCTGTTGTTGTAATGTTGAAAAGTGAAACTGTAACTCTTAGCCAACCCGAAAAACCTGCTTTCACCACGGGAATATTCGCTGACCATTACACTGAAACAGATGCTAGTAGTAGCTCTGTTAATGGTCTAACAGTTTCTAACGTCATGCCACGATAACACCATAAGATTCATGAATCTGCACAAAGTTGAAGCTTTCCTGTGGTTTCTTTGTCATGAAATTCCACACATTAAACATGTACTAAAATTCAATTTTCTGGCACTGTTCAATAAAAGTGAAAGGGCGATAATACCCTCGATTTCTTCTTTGCTCTACAGTGGAAAGTCGGCAATGATCTTCCCAGCCACGCGTCTTTCCTCGTATGTTTGTCTGCTTGGACCGCATCTTTTTAGCTTTACCCTTCCACTTCGTTTTTCACCTTCATTCGTCCGTCTTTTGCTCTCAAATCCTTTCTTTTACTTTCGCAAAATAGTCTCACAAGAGATCCTGCGTTTGATTTTTTTTTTTTTTCGATTTAGTTTCCAGTCTCTCCCGGTATTGAATCCTTTGTTATTCGGCGTTTTGTTCTCATCTTGCCATCGTCGGGGCAAGAACTTTAAGGTTAGTTTGTTCTCAATGTTTTATCCTCATTTTGCGATCTCTAGGCCAAGAAATTTAAGGTCTTTGTTTTTGTTTTTGCTACGGATCTGCAGGGTTGCGACAAATTTTTGTGAAATTGGTCACTAATCGCATGCTGCCTCTTCAGATTATTGACAGAGAAATTATATTGAACTTGTGGTAAGTTTTAAAACAACTACGTGTAATTTTCGATTCTCAGTTTGTATTTGTTCTCAATTGATTCAAGGCATAGCATTAGAAAAAAAATGTAATTATTGGGGGTTTTTGTTTTTGGTGGATTTAGAGTTTTGTTTAAGTTTTATTATTTTGGAGTTGAATTTGGTTGCTCCTTGGCTGTGGGGAGAGAGGACTGGTGCGTCATTTGGTGAAGAAGGGTTGGGGAAAGAGACAGGGGGTGTAAGGAGTGTGGTTGCAGATGAGAACTATCAATTTTCTATCTTTTCAATTTCTACAGAGCACCCATTTCCTTCCTGCAAATGGGTCTTACAAACTTCCACTCGGTTCTATCAATTTTTAGTATAAAAATATGGTTTTTCGTTAAAGTGAATAGTATCGTGGGCTTTTCGTTAAAACTCCCTTAAAACTATACATTGTGATTGCAGGTTTTTAAAAACTTGACCTTCGCAGATTGTTCAAAAAGAAAGCAATTATGCTATTGATCAGTATAAAGACGCAACAACAAAGTTAGAAATAAACTGTCTCACATGATATATTTTGGTTTGGGTTTGTAATGTGTGATTTCCGATGTGGATTAATTACTTAACTGATTTTGGATTATGATCATTGCATGTTTTTTCGTTTCGTTATTCTTTATTTTGCCAGCATTTTCTACAAATCTGTTTTATTGTGTTGGTGTGAAACTGTTTACATTATCAGACTGTTTTAATTGCTTTGCTATTGTCTTTTTATTTTATTTTTTTAATTTACATATATTTCTTATGTAGGAGTTATATGGACTTGGGGGACAAGAATTATAAATGCAATTATTGTGTGCTTATTGTTAGTTAAAAGAATCAAACAAACAATGAACCTATAATAAGTGAGGGATAACTCACTTCGACCCTGCCTCTATTATTTGTCTTGCATATTCTCATCTCAAAAGCATAAATTTACATAATTATCAGATTAAAGGTTAAGATGAAGAATTCCACTTTACTCAGAACCCGACAATTGTTTCTTCCACGACCCCCAACTTTAAAAGTCTTTGTTTGAATTGTCTATCCAACTTTTGATTTTGAGATCAGATTCCTGCTTAAAAGATAATAATTGTTCAAAAAGTGAGTGTGAGACTTTAAAAGTCTTTGTGTGAATTGTCTATCTAACTTTTTATTTTGAGATAAGATTCCTGCTTAAATGATAATCATTGTTCAAAAAGTGAGTGAGATTTAAATGTCTTTGTGTGAAATGTCCTATCTAACTTTTGATTTTGAGAAGATTCCTGCTTAAAAGATAATAATTGTTCAAAAAGTGAGTGTGAGATGACTCATCTCTACCCTACCACTATTATTTGTCTAGCCACCCCATATTCTTCATGGTTCATTGGTTTTCTTTTGTCAATATTTAACGTTTAAATTCGATTTTTGGTAACATTTTTTTTTAGGGGAATTGGCTGTTACCAGTATAGATAATCATTATCTTCTTTTGGCTTGTATACCAATTGTTTGCCTGACCATTAACAAATTCAGAGGAATACAGAAGTATTAGTAAAATTGTCTCTACTACAGATATACCCTCTCCACATGCCCTAATTAGCCAAAGTACACCTTAATGATACAGAAATGGTTAAATCTATCCATGTACTATTTCCATCACTCATTACCCGGATTTAACAATTTTTCTAATTCTAAGATGTTTTTTGGATCAAAGCATATGGACAAGGTGTATCGTTGGTTGGAGCATTTGTATCCATACTTTTAGATATCCATCTTAAACTTCTCAATAAACAGTTGAATACTTGATGATGTATATAGAGCAAGCCAAAAGAAGAAAGTTTTTATCTATATATTGGTAACAACGAATTCCTCTGAAGAAAAAAGATGAAAATGATGACATCTGAAATGCTTGATCAAATTACATTCTCTATATTTTGCAGAGAAACCAAACCAAAGATATCTGATCCATCTTAGCACATCTAATATCCCATTCTTATATGGCAACTTTTTTTTTAAGATTAATCACTCCACAGATTTTAGACAAATTTATATTCACAATTTCCAATTTGACAAAATACTTTATTGCCCTGTGTTATCTTTTGTGATAAACATATGAATGCACAAAAACAACCATGCATGCCTTACCCATTTAGATAGGCATTTGTATCCATGTTTACACATCTATCTTAAATGCTGTCTTGCAAAATCCAGTGGTTAAGTCCAAGTTTACTATCTAATGTGCTATTATATACTTTTAATTGGATACTTTGTTTACAATTTAATAATTTGATTGCCCCTTTAGTTGCATAAACTCAGTAAAATTTTGAGGTTATAGACACTGAACTGCTGAATCTCTACGGTTTCTTTTGTTTTGTCCAATTGTTGTCATTATTCGAATTGGGTAATTTAAGGTTTTTTACTGTATTTATTTATTTACTGATAAATTAGTGGGTCTAAACTCTTAATTGAACTGAGGAAAACAGAGAACTAGCAAAGCTTCATAGAGAACATGCACCAGTTTCCTGCCATCCTGATCCTGTATTTATTCCTTCATTTGGGTAACACAGCTTAATGAAATAAAATTTCAAAAATATATTAAGAGTATAATTTCACGCTTTTGATTCGAGTTTAAAAATAACATTTACATTCAGTGTGTCTTTTACTCAGTGGATAAACAACCTGTAAATGAGCTTGACTGTGTCGAATTGAATGTTTTAGTGCCCACGACCTATTTGATAAAAGATAGCGTCAAAACTCCTCCAATATGTGTTCAAGGTGTACCCCTTCTATTTCTAATTTATATTGTTTCCTTACACTCAAACCATAACACTAAATTCCCAATTTCTTGCCCATAATGATGTGTCTTATATCTCATGGAGAAGCTCTCAAGTCCACCGCACTGGCCCAACTTTTTTGCCCACTTCAGGTACTGCTTTTAGCATCAAAATCCTATGCATGTCTAACCTTTCTTAGCATTTTCAGTTGTTTTAGTGCAATGATGTGCATGAATTAATACAACATAAACTTACATAGTTTGTGAGCTCAACCATTGAGGTTTCTAACTGGGTTTTGATTGTTTCACTAAACTTTTATACGTTTCAATTTTATTGTTTGGTAAAACTTTTATGCTTCATGGTGCCTGTGAAATATAAGTTCACCATTGGTACATAATTAAGATTGGATATCGTTGATTCGTTCAACGCTCTTGATTGTTATTTTCAAGCCAACTACTACATTTTCCAACGAATTTACAAAGAACAACCAAGCTGGATTATATAGCCAGATTCCGTTAAATTATATCACTATTGGTATTCCAGCTGCCCACCTTATAGAAATTACAAGGTTTGCTCCACTCTATACTTCTTTGATACATTTAATTCAAATTCGTATATTTAGGTAAGAAACAAAATTTTATCTATTCCTTGAGTTAGGCAGAGTTGTAAATAGATTGAGTTAAGCAGAGTTGTAAATATAACTTTCTACATGTTTTATGCTGTTTAAAACCCGCAACATCGCGCGGGCACCGTTGCTAGTGTTATCTATACCACAAAGTTTTGCCTAGTTCTGTTATGTGAATATTATTAACAAGTACAGAATACTGGCAGTTTAGCTGATACAAATTGCTAAGAACAACTGGTTTATTCCTTTCGAATGAGAATTAAAATTGTGACACCAAGCTAATAAAGCTTCTTGCTTTGCAAGGGTCAGGAGAGGAAAATTTAGTGTATGCAGCATCATCCTTACTTTACAAATGGACGCCACGACTTGAACCTATGGCCTTTCAGTAACAAGTCACAAAGGAACAACCTCTCTGTTGCGCTAAGGCTCGTCCTCATTTCTAATGAGAATTGATGGTTTTTATTTATTTTTGAATCGTTCTAATGGATTTGATTCATGGAATTTGAGTTCATTTCATTTTTTTTTTCTCTTTATTTATTTATTTATTTTTAAATTGCGTTTGTTTGTCAACCTTTACCCGAACCAACCTGGAAATGGCACTGATAGCATGTTTACTAATCTGTAATAATCATTATGATGGAGTCCACTGGCAGCAAATTAAAGCTAGATTTATCATAACTTGACACCAGGTATAAAACTATGATATCATTAATAATGCTCATTGATTTGAATTCACTGTTAAGATGGCTGTAATTGTATTCAGGTTCAAAAGTAGTCAACATAATATAAAAAATTAGTAATTAATTAACGACTAAAACTAGGGGCTGCTTAATCTAGAAAAGGGATCCTCTTTGGATCCTTTCTTCCTAATCCATTAAATTAGAAAATTTGTACCGTTGAAATTTGATTGAATGGCTACAAATGGGGATTCACTTTAAAAATTATATTAACTTCAACCATTAGATCATATTTTAACAGCACAGATTTCCTGAATTAATGGATTAGGAGTAAAAAGGATCCCGCTCCCTTAATCTGATGTTTCATTTGAAATAAGCTGATTTGGAACCTTGTTAATTTAAAATTCTCCACGTCCAAGTCGCCCCATGAGAATTTGAGCGGTCAAACAAATAGTTAAATAAAGAGACACAACTTTGTCTAGCCAATCCTTAATCTCACACTTTAATCAAGTGCTATAAGCATGACTTAATTACATGTGATCAAGTTGCAAAGTCTTTGATAATTCAACAAGTCAAATCGAATATAATAATTTTCTCCACAAAAAAGTCGAATAATACTTTGCTACTCAAAAGATGTGTAGGAGTTCGTACTTAAAACTGTTTGTTGTTGATTTATAGGACTTCATGCTTATAATAATAATTGTCATATTATAAATCATTCTATAAAGATCACGTTTGCAAGAAGAAAAAAAAAATCAATTAAAATTAAGATCGTTTAGTTATCAAACTGTATAAGAACAAATGAACGGAATTGGTAAAAGTATTACGAACCGTCTATTTATTTGATACAATAGTTGACGAAACGACCTTAATTTTATTTAATTTTTTTCTTTTCTTTTTGCAGACTTTATAGAGTGATTCATAATATGAACGGTTCTGATTATAAGCATAAAGTGTTGTATTCGAACACAAAAAAATTTTGAGTAGGAGTTCCTACTCATCGCCAACATTATTTCAATTTCTACAGGTCCATTTAACCTTGATTATATCCTATCTTCCTATGGCACTCATCACGTCGTTATCTTCACCTCCAATTGTTTCTGCCAAATTCTATGCTAAAGTCCAAACAGCTTATACTAAATTACTAGTACTTTCATGGTTGCTCCTTTTAAGTAGAATGGTCAAACAAATAGTTGGACGTGCACTAAATAGACTCTAGATGCATGAACTCTAAAATGGTCACATTTTAATACAAGTATTTTAAGCATACCTTACATGCGACTAAGCTGCAAAGTCTTTGTTTAATCAACAGTTAATCATATCATTTGAATACCATATGCTATTCCTGGTCTTTATCAACCTGCAGATCATGACTTTATTCAGCCGGCTTGCGTCTACGATCAGCAAGGAAGTTTCCGCCTTGTAATCAACGGTTAACCAGATGAAAGCTAGTAGCCGGAACTTCACTGTCAAAACTGGAAAGTTATCAAAATAAATCATCAAATTGTTTCTTGCCATTGGCCTAATTCTGTGTTCACTGTGAGCCCTTTCTAGAAAATGGATAAAGATAAACTTCTT